CCATCCCATACAACAACAAAAAAGCCTGACAAATACAGATAGTTGTGTGTTGGCTCCCTTTCAAATTCTTTTTGTACATCAACCAGAAGTAAGCCTCATTCTCCTGCTGAAGGTATTTTCCTCTTTACCAATGAATGTTTCCAAAGAGGTGGCAAGAGATGTTCTCTTTCAGGCACCAATCCACCAACTCCTGAGGCCAGGTGGGAGCATTACAAGGGCTCCACAACACAGGGAGGCTCTCCTTGAGCAGCTGAGGCACATGTGGCTGTAAGGCAAAGAAATCTGGAAAGGCACCAGCACATTAGCATTCAGAATACTGATCCTACCCCTATTGCTTGCTTTTTAAGTCATCTTTGTGCTCCACATTGTCACACTAGTAAAACCAGAAGGATAGCAGCTAGATACTCAGCAACCATGCTGCCGGGTAGTGGAGAAAGCAGCTTTATTCATTATCAACATCAGTCCACAAGAAGCAGAACAGTTTTCCACTCCATGTCCTGCTGCTGAAGGGAGAAGATCTGGCACTTAATTAAGAAATGCTCAGCATACAGCTTAAGTGATATAAGTATGTAATTGATTACTTATATAATCTAGAAGCAGTCCTTCAAAACAGAAGCTTTTTATTTTATCATAGCTTTTGAAAAGAAACAGAGAAGAATATTGCAGCATATTGCTAACACGTAAGAGCACATATATATTCCTCTTTTATTTAACCTAGGACAAATGCAACACAGCTTTCTCAGACTGCTAAAACTACCAAACCCCTAACTCCAAAAAGAGAGGCTGTTTGGTGAGAAGAAAAAACTACAGCACGTATCCCCTTCTCAGGCAGCAGGAAACCCAAATAGGAGAGGAAAATTAGAAACCCAGCTTCAAGCTTTCTACTGTGCACAGAAGTTCATACCGAGTACAATCAAACCTCTATAGAGCAACAAGACCACAACAGTTCACAAGCAAAATATCTACACTTTTTGAAATGTAAACTGAAGGCATTTACAGAAATACTGACTGCAAAAGCCAGCATAGGACTGTTATCTACTCCTTTTGCTTTTCATGCTTCACTCCTATTTTCTTTTACAGTTTAAAAGGAAGAAGCAGAACAACAACATAACAATAATACAAGTTTTTCAGCCCTTGCTAAAAAGGACATCTAAGGAACTTAGTTATCATTCAAGCCTAAAACTCAGAAGAAATAGAGGCACGTTACAAAGGACAACAGTTACCCCGACCCCTGTACAGCAAGTTCCTTAAACTTAAAATAACCTCTATGACCTTCTAAAGCATTTGAGAACAAGTTAGTAAAAAACAAACAAACAAAAAACCCTGTTATTTAGCATTTGTAATAAAACAAAATCTATCTAAAACCATAAACACAAACAGTATTACTGCACTAAAGCATTATTTGTACCATAACCACAAATACAAACCTCATCTAGAAGAAAAACTTGATAGTACGTGCTAAATTATACCTCAGAAGCCTTCACTGTTTTTTCCTCTTCCTTATGAACAAACTTACGTTAAAGACTCATAAACAAACAACAATTACACATCTAAAACTACATTTTCATTCTTTCATGTAGAAGCAAAGACAATACACTGCAAAAAAAACACCACAAGATTAACAACATTTATCAACAAAATAATACTAACCTTACTCTTCAAGAGAAAGTCATAACACAGAAAAAGTAAAAAGCTCTTGAAATCCACTGCTATAAACACATGAAAACAGAACTACCTCCACCTGGGGTGGGAGGTTATCAGATTATGGGAAGAAGCAACACCTGTGGCTGAATGATTCTTAGGCTGTTACAGTTCTTAGGGATATTATTTTTTCAGTGTATGCAAAAGTGGTTTGCTTTACTCATTTTTCTATTAAACCACGGAATAAGGAGGTTTGTGTTTACGTATGTTTTTTTTTGGTTGCATAATTAGTAAATATCCCTGAAAACCTGGCTGTAGTAACCACTTGTTCAGCATTCCAGGGGAGGGAAAACTATGGCAAGTCAAGCACTAGCAAAAGAGGATCTTTCTTGTAGATGATATCAGACATGTCTTACAGTAATTGAAGGCTATAAATATAGTCCTTCTCCACAATGTTTTTGTTTGTACGTTTGGTTGGTTCTTTTTTCTTGCTGTCCGTTAGTCTACAACACAAGAGTAATTCATGTCAAAAGTGAGAAAAGGAACTGGTGTTGAAAAAATATTTGCTGCGTGTGTGGAAGTATGATTAAATAGAAGGTAAAAACAGATGGAGGAAGCATGGAACGTGAAGGCCTACTCTTTTTTTTTTTTTTTTTTTTTCTCTTGCAGTTATTATTTCCTTGTGCTAGGCCTGCTCTCTCTTCTCTAGTGCAAGCATTCAGTATGTGCCTCTTTCCTTCCACATCTCCGGAGTGACTGGACTGGCCTCATAATCTATATACTTGTAGTTGCTTTTTAACATTTAATTCCCTTGGACAAGACCTATTTGGTATCTCTGGAAATTGTACTGTCATAAAACTAATCTTCCTTTTTCTTCACAGACATCTATTTGAGTAGCCTTTGTCACCTTGTTGCAACTCCAGTGGCTGTCTGCTGAATGACTTGATTCCGTTCAAGGGTTGTGACAATTCTAGTCATATCACACACAATTCTTAAGGTCCAACTACTGGTGGCATTGAGAGACCTCCTTTGATTTTCAAAAGCACTGCCATGAGTTTGCAAATGGAGCATCTTTGAAAACTAGCTCCATATTAACACCTGTCTCCAATTCATTCCTTGTGAAAAGCTTATCAGAGAGGTGCCTCAACCAAAAAAAGGCTGGGCCCTGCTGAAATGTACTTTTTTTTTCCTTGTTGTGACTGTTTTGAGGATGCACCAGAACACATTCATCCTGGAACATGAAGCTCATTATTCATGTGAAGACTTGTGAGAACTTGATTTAAAGAAAGAACAGTCTGGAGTCATTTATAGTACCAGTATCAGGCAAATAAAAGCATTTATGGAAAGGAAATGAGAATAGGGTAGCATCAAACATAAATTTCCAATCTTTCTCCAAGAAAGAAAGACAGCTTTAAATCCTCATGATGTATGTTAAAAAGAACCACCTGAGGGTCCATACTGAGAGAACTTACTGGCATAGTCTGGTGCAAACACCAGAGCTCTTCCACAAATACACTGATTAGCATTGCCTACCAGAGAAAACACCACTAGTAAGTGGGCAATTGTACCCTTAACTGGGTCCAGAGAAAAGTGACAAGGTAAAATACTAGTAAAACTTTTTTATTTTTTTTAAATAGACAGTTACACCCCTTGTTTGCTAAGTTGGGTGAGTTTCTATTTTTCATTTTCCTGTGCTGTAGGGTATTTTTGCGTTAGTGAGCTCTGAAGCAAAAATGAGCAGCAACCACAAAGCAATTATCAAGAAAGCAGGGCTGAGCAAACACTCTATCTTTGCGCCATGAGGCTTCCTTCCTCAGAACGACAGACCAGGCTTCAGCGATCCTGTCAGCCTGGGTGAGACACAGGAAATGCCTGCTAGAAGCCCATTTCCTCTGATGTCCTAAATGGACGTGAGGATGCTGTCTGTGCCAGCCTGCTGCCTCAGTGGGACTGCATTTTCTTTGTTATTTCTGAGGAGAAACTTAGCTTATTAAAGAACAGGATCTGATCATTTACCTGAGGTAATTCAAGGAAGCGCACAGGGTGCTCTACCACGCTTACAGGAGACCTACCCAGATTCAACCCCAAGGACAAGAAGCTTCTTGAGCAAAATTCATGTTTCCTTTAGGATAATGGACAATTGCCAGTATTCACTGTGCTCTACCACTGAGGTCATAGATACACTGAGGGCTGCAAATCCTGAAATTCCAAGCACTTTGTGGTTAAAAAAATAAATAATAAAGGCCAAACTGTCTATTGACTCCATAAACAAAGAAATTGGGGTTCAAGTGAGGGAGAAACAATACAAAGGGCACCTGAGCTATAAGCCTAATTTAAGACCCAAGACCTTTGGGGCTGGTGAAATCCTCTGAGGTCCAAATCTCATCACACTGCACTAGCTGATAACTATGGAGTTTCAGAAGTGTCAGAGGAACTCTGTGCTGGGGTGCAGAAAAGAGGTGCCTGTTCTTCTGCAGGTATGTGAGACCAATGTCCAACTACATCTCCATGACATGAATGTACACGCAGGGAGTTCCTCAGGCAAGAGGGAGAGGCAGTTGCATTAATATAATGTTTGAGGATAATAAGCAAAGGATCTTCAGACATATTAGGCTCAGGTCTCTTTAGACCTGCTCTGTATGAACTGTTTTTACTGCCTTTGTGAATTAGAAGATGATACATTCATATCCTTTCTCCTCCCAATTAAAAACAAAACAAACAAACAAAAAAATGCATTTATCCTGAATTACTTTTAAGTCCACATAGTAATCTGTCACTGTATTTATAGCTTTCCATTGTGCTAATAATTATATTGACCCAAATGCATGAAGTAGATCACCAAAATCATAGTTTCATGTTGAACCTAAGCTCCAGACCCCAACAGGCTTGTATCGCCAGGCTGGTCCAGCAGACCAAGACACAGTTCAGCTACAGCAAAATATATTCATACTACATAACTAAAATAACCAAAAACATTGTGTAACACTACAGCTTCAACGAACCAGAGAGAATTTCTTCTTGAACACCAATTAGAATACCCTAGTCTGAAATGACAGCAGCTCCTGGTTTCTTATTCCTTGCTTCTTATATGCATATACATGCATATAAGGGTAACAGAATTGAAGATAAGCTTTAGTTCCACATTTATTTTTAAAGATATCTGAATAAGAACTCGTAAGGATAAGGTACCTTATTTAAAATTTTGAGGTTGTGAAGTTTACTTGCACACAGAACATCCTTCTGCAACAGGAACAGGCTACATGCAGAATCTGGTATTACTTTGACTTCCAGCTCTTGCTTAAAGACTTCGAAGTTTGATGCATACAGTAAGACAAAAAATAAAAAGATTGCTCAGGTAACCTGATACCATCAAATTATAACATTTATTTCAGTTACAAAAATAATAAGGTTTCTTTTACATAACTCAGGCACAGAGCCAAGCATTGAATATATTGCTCTAGGTTAAAAAAGAAAAACCCTAAACACCACCACCTCCATTGGAAGTTCAGTCGGTAGTTCAAGTAATGCATAGATCCTTTCCCTTCTCCTGCAAGATTCTGAATTCAAATACAGGTCATATCAGCAGTAGACGATGCCCTAGCAACTGTTTTGGAGACCTAGATGAAGAAAAACAGTGGTCCTGGAGCAGGGTCTCATGGAGAAATTTAGCAAGGGTCAAAATCAAGTGGATATGGAAGACAGATTGCTTCATGTCTGAAATACCACAAGAGATTTGTAAGTGCTTTCCACATGGTGTTTCCATAATTGTCTGCATTCTCCCTTTCCTTAACACTAAAGGATTATCAAGGTTTGGTTCAGGTTTTCAAATTAGTAAATTTCTTTCCTCAAACCTATTTTATATTACTTGGATGGGAGAACATGGCAGTAGAAAAACTACTGGCTGGTAAAGAAGGAAGTGTAAAGTTTGTCTGAAGAAGCCTTTGAATTATTAGAAGATACTGAAACACAACACAGGCTGAATTATAGGTGACTAGTTGAGCTCTGTACAGTCAGCAACATAATTTTGTCCCCCGGTAATGGTGAAATTCTTGCTGTCTGCAGTGGCAGCAGGGAAAAGCATAAGGCATAACCTTCCCAAGGTAGACTAATTCTTAAAAGAAGCACACACTAATGTGACATGTTCTATGCTGTAATTTAGTAGAGATATTACCATAACAGAAGTGGAAAGTGTTAGCTTGTTAGTGCCCACGATAGAACTGAAGCTTACAACCCACCCCTCCCTCCCACCCCAACCCACAAGCCTTAGGAGGCCTTTCTGGATGATACAGCTTTCTCAGTGAAATGTTAAAATTCCTGTTTTGTTTGGAGTGATTCATTTCAGTTGTCTGTCTTCTGGCTGGTGGATCATCTTCATTTCCCAGTCCTAGAAACTACCTGAATTGCTTTGATCCACTCTGTACGCTCTGTGGACGAAGCTGCTTGCAAGTAATAGTGGACATCGTTTGCTGTGATGATTTCAAACAGGTTGTTTTCAACATCACATTTCTTGGCTACAGGGAAGAAATAAGGAAGTCAGCTATGAGAGAATAAACTCCTGTATGTAAAATGTTTCTTCCTTTGCATCCTGTAAAGAGATTCCCTTCCTTTCTACAGCTGTGCCTGATCATGCCTTTGGAAACCATTTGCAAGATAGGATCCGTGAGATCTGTCACTGTCTTGGAGAGAAAAAATCCACAAGTTCTGCACATTTCACTTTCAGGAGTCCCTGTTCAACTGATACCCAACCATAGAAAAATCTGCAGCTCTGCAGAGAGCTTTCATTACCCAAGCCCTCCAGTGCTTTGCCAGGTACAAAAACAAGAGATTTAAGTCATGTCAGAAATCTCTGGCACTTTTCATAGATGGCAGCACAGCCTACACAGGCATTGAGATGACAACAGACTTTCTGGCTGTTGATGATAGCCTGCCTCTCCTGTGGAGCAGAGTATGCATTGAACAAATGCTTCTCGTTCCTTGCAGCAACACTTAACCATTGCTGTTCCCACAAGTTCTAGCTTTGGGAGGGAACAGAACATGTAGAATAACAAGTAGTTGGCACAACCATTTGTAACGTAAAGCTTCCACATGAAATTCATGAATTAAAATGAGAACTCAGCTTATTCTGTCTAAGGCCAGTTATCCTAACACAGGGACACCATGTCATCATTTTGACAAGTCTGAACAGCTGACAAACAAGATTCCCACTTGCTACTTTTATCACAGTACCCTCCTCCAGTAATTAAGAGAGCCTAGTAATTAGAAGAATTACTGCATCATTGCAAATTGGTTTTGAATTAAAAAAAAAAAAAACACTTGTGGTTTCAGGCAGATTTAAAGAATGCACCAAAAACTTGTAACACAAAACCTATAACTCTTTCAGTAAGGTTCCTTACAGTCTGGCATATCTTCCACTGCTGTCACCACGCAGCCCCTCAAGTGAATTGCTCCGAGAGGATCTTCTCCCTGGGGAAGATAAGAAATCAAAATGAAATACAACTCTTCTGAAACTCTTCACATGTGAATATCTGACTAAAACTCCAGAATGAAAACAAAAACATTTGGTGACTTTGTATATCAAATGGGAAAACCAGGGTATCCTCAGTCTGTCTGATACGGAAGGTAGAAGGTGTGCCAATCTGCAAATAAATAGGAAATCATTCAGAATTTGGAATTCAGGATCTACAGATTATTTACCATGCTCTGAGCAAAGGTGTGGAAAAAAATAATAAACCTTTCGCCAGCAATAGGCCTTCCGTTGATGTTACAGTGAAAAGCAGGTTAGTTATAAAGAAGAGATCTTTAAGTTTTTGTTGTCGTTTGTTTATTAAAAAACAAGCAGCAGGAGCAGATATACATTTGTTTACAATTTTGCCTTCTTCTACACTTCAGGAAGAACTATTGCAATAGCCAAGGATTGGGTGAAGAAGCATTTTTGTTGACATAAGCCTGAAACCTGCAGTTCCTATGAGCTGACACACTTCAGCCTTTTGGGAAAAGAAGCCAGGAGTGGGAAAGATGCTGGAAACAGAGGTCAAACTCCTCAGTGTTGATTCTCCAGTGCATCTAGGCAGCTTCTGCCAAGCAGGACAGACACAGCCTAGAGAACCTGAACTCACAACAATAGCTCTGCCCCTGCTGCAGTGCTGGACAAAATAAATATTGTGGTCTGAATCCACCTGGACACTAGCTTTTGTGGGTCAGGTTTCGTCTATGGTGATGCCCCTTCCTTTCTCAGAGCAGGCCCTGACCCATAAGAATTACACGAGTAACAAAATGCCATGTTTCAGTCTGACACAGAGAACACCTTGATTACAAACTGTAAAATGATGGTATAGCCTTGATTTGCTCTTTTAACCTCATCCACTGTAATCAAATGGGACCACACGTTAATTCTAATTAATCACAAAGAAGAGGTGAGAGCACAGTTCAGCACTGCCTGTTCCCAGGTCTGGATGTCACATGCCAGCCCTAGAAACCATCCTTTCCTCTGCTTTTCCAGAAGGCAGCCAGATAGTGTGAGCGCAAGCAGCTCCACTATCCTGTTTGACCTTTTCCATCACACATCCCCAAGCAAATACTCCACTTATATTTCTAGAAGAATGCAGCTTTAAAAATAAAAAATAAAAAAATAAAACAACCCAAAACAAAACCCACCAAATAAACAGGGAAATAAACCAAAGTTGAACAAATGTATCTTACTCCAGCAGGATCATAGTAGTGAAGATATGCAGGGTCCTCTCTTAAAACAAACTTCCTCACTTTCCAGTTTTTCCTTCGATGTCCCTAGAAAAAATAAAATAAATTCACACGAGATGTCAGAACAAGGTTTAAATGCCACAAAACATGGCTGCAATATGTCCTGCAGGAAGGGTTCAGACCCTAACCTTTCTCCACAGTACCCCTCACTGGCTGGCTTAGGAAGCTTCCCTGCCAGTTTGCTGCCTTCCAGCAATGCTGTTCTGAGGCACCCAGCCTTTGCAGAGCCTCTCACACAGGTGTAGACCAAGCAGAAAGACAGCAAATAGATTTAGCTCCAAGTGGTATAGGCATCCAAATCACATTAACAAGTCAGCCTGGCTTATAGTCCACCAACTCCAATCAGTGTTAAGTGCTTTCAAGCTCTGGGAGATCTCATCCTGGGAGCTCTGGGAGAGCTCAGTCTGGGCCAGCCCACAGCCTCACAGACTCGTACTGGACACATGGACCCTAAGCACTCATGAACTACATCCAGGTCATCTAGTCCTGCCCTTTCTTCCTAGGAGACAAGAAATTTACCCTCCAATGCAAACAACCATCCTGCCATTCATAGCCTGAACCTGATGAGAAATCATAGAAGATGCAGGGAGAACAGCCTGGGAGACATCCCAGGAAATCAAACCCTGTGACCAGGGAAGATGAAACCTTCTTACTCATTTTACAGCATTCACAAAGTAACTGGGGTAACAGCACTTCCCAGCAGATCTAGGTTTTCCCCATCCTTTGCTGCAGTCTTGAGAACACGCATTATCTGCAGAAATGGTGACACTCTCAAGCAGTGATCCAGTTTACTGAAGGTGACCAAATCCAGATTAACTGCTGGAAACTGTTGTGAATCATTTCCTCTCAGTATTTCAAAATATTAGTTTCTCAATTAACTACTGCTGTTTGCAAGAAGTTCCTACTAACTAGACAGAGGTGGATGTGACAGGGTAAACGTTAGCAGAAAGACTCACATCCAGTTTCTTCTGTTGCTTTTGAGTAATGTGGTTGAACAAGAGAAATACAAGTGAGTACCACCAGAAAGTACTTATGGTCCCAACAGATATTTTCTGGTTTCCTTCATGGCAACAAACGTCCAGTTTGTATAATTTAAGCAGATATCCTTGCTAAAACACCTCCTGCTTGTCACATCTCTTCCTTTAGCACTCTCATATTTAATTAAAACACTAAGCTGTCTTGTTCTGTACTAAGAAAATAAACCATGCAACTCTGGACAAAAGCCCTGCTGCCATGCTACAAAATGGGTTAATTGAGTAAAAAGGAGGAAGGACAAAAATTAAACCTGTCAAATGCAGACATTGCATAAGCTAATTTTTCTCTCTTCTTTAAAATTTTTAGGTATAGAAGAGTAATTTTGTATCTATTGATCATCATCCCAGTGAGAAAACAGAAGGTGTGCAATACTGACCTGTTTCAGTAAACATCCTTGTTTGACTACTAAGCCTCTGAATTCTTCTTTCAGGACCACATCATCGTCACTAGAATTCCCCTCGCAGTAAAAACCACTGTCTGGCTGCATGACCACAAGAGAAAATTCAGAAGTTACACAAATGGTGCCTGTTTATATATATATATGTACAAATCTGGCTTCTATTTGGCATCCTTTCACCCTGTTTCTGTTACCAAAAAATTACGAATTTCTTTTTTAAATCACCTTCTCTACTGGAAAACCATCCTGTAAAGTTGAGGACCTCACCAAGTCGCCATTTCAGTATGAGATAGGACTACACCAGGTCTTAGGGCATCTGAAGACAGCTGGAGGATCTACATCTACCTCAGTTCCTATGAAGCCATATGAAGCAATGTTGGCACTGCCAATACACTCCAGGCTGTCCATTCCCCAACCCAATATAACCTTCCTTTCCCTACATCCATCACAATCACCTGAAGTTTGAGAAGAAGAGGAAACTCTCATCTAGGCCATCTTCTCCACACCAGATAAATTGTGATGCTGGTTACTGAAGCCTTACACTGTTCAAATGGTATGAATAAAGGTACGAATAACCACACATATTGCATGTAGTAAGCTTTTGTGCTTACTGTTTACCTGACACCAAGACAGACACCGACCTGCTACAACCTCCTTGCATCACATTGATACTGAAACAAACTAAAAGCAAGATGAAAGCAAGCAAATTACACATGAGGTATCAAAAAAAGTGTCCCTGGTAGCCAGGAACTGTGATGGCCACATGGTTGCCTCCACCAGCACTGTCTGTGCTTCCATTTCTGCACAGGTAAAGTCTTCCTACCAACAAATGAAGTAATGGGAGATTCATTTTTTTCATGGAGTGATTTGATGTGGTAAGTATAAACAAAACTGTAATATTTAAGGCCATTCTACTTAACAGTAGGAAGACCCTTTGTTAGCATCATTTCATAAACCAAACATTTTTTAAAATGTTTGGCTGTGATTGTGCTATTACAAGTTCTACAAATCCATCCACAGAATATGAAACAATTTGAAAAGGTTGGGTAAGCTACCCAGGACAGGTGTTATCAGGTAGATTTAAGAAAAATAAAACATCTCTTGCTTTTTTGCTCACAGGCAAGCTCTGTGTGTGTGTGTGCATGCCTGTGCTGAGTCAGATCTGCCAGCTCAGTGCACAAAAATGTGTTTCCAGCTTGAGTCACTCTGAGAAGCCCCATGATGATGAATTACTCTCTTCCATTCCACTGAATCATTAGGGGAACTGGTGGCTAAGTCCTAGTCACTGCCGAAATTACTGGGAATAATGCCCAAGTTAAGAAAATCTCTGCACTCGGTTCAGAGTGCCAGAAGAACTGTCTTGGTTACAGATGTGAAAGTGAGACAGTATATTCTGAGTGCCACATAAAGACAATTAACATAGATCTCTAGTTCTGTACACTCTTTCCTCCAGGACTTAAGAATCCCAACTCAAACCTGAGAAGAACAGAGTATCTGCAAGTCTGGGACAAAGGAAAACCAGAATACAACACTCACAAAGTAGTAATAGGCATCGCTGAGATCTAAGAAGGGGGTGTCTGAGAGTCCCTCAGCTGCGGCCTTGGAAGTATCTCCTGCAGGCTGTAGGTAGCCTTCACTCAAGAGGGAAGAGGCAAGCATGAGGCCTTCTTTGCGATTTCGGATGGAGTTGCTAGATACCAGCCAGTCAATCACAGAAGTGCCTGGTTACAAGGAAATAAACATTATCAGCCACAACCCAAGCCAGACAGGCAGAAACCTAAAAATACTTGCTGGCACTGGCTTAATTTCCTCCTCCTCTTGCTTAACTTGGCAATATCTGAACACTTTCTTAAGCTTCATCCTTTGAGCATCTCTCCTGTTGGTCAAGATGACCTCTGCCAGGTTTTTTCCTAAAACTTCTCTATGTTCTACAGAGCTTAGAGCTGTTTTGATCTATCTTGAGACTCTTAGCTCTGTGCTCTTTTTATTGAATGGAAAAGAGGAACAAGAGCTTCTTACCTGTAAAGCAGTGATTGAACACTTTCTTATCTTTTTCCAGTTTCAACTCCTTTATTCCCTTTTCAGGATCTTTCATTGAGAGGTACAAAGCACTGTGCATAAAAAGAACCACAGAAACTGTTAGCAAATAAAAAGCTTTAGCCAACTGGTACAGTAATACCATTCTCTTTCACAGGGTCTTCATACTTTATGAGCATAGCAATCTTTATAGACCTACAGTATGACTTAGTTTGGTCTCCTGAAAAGTTTACTGTGCAAAGCACAGAGACCTCACCACCTCGCTATCATAACTGTAGGAACAGAAGAGTAACTGCACAAAGGGCTCACCACACCTCTATTTTAAGACTGTACCAACTTGTGATGACTGCAGTGTGAACAGAGGAACACCCACTGCTGAGGCTCCTCTGCAGAGCTTCACAGCCCTGGTGCTTTGCTATGTTCTCCGAAAGGTCCTCAGCAGAGCAAAAACACTGTGACATCCCCAAAACCTGCATGCTCTCAGAGGCCCTGAGTAACTTCAGTGACTCCTGGTCTGACTTCCTTTTTCCCCCTTGCTTTTCACTTGCTCAAAACTAATTGCCCTTGGGGCTGAAATGACAAGAAGGACAAACACTAAATGTCACAAGCTAAATCCTTTGGTTCATTATTCAGTCAGGGTGATCCTGCTGCTGAAGCCACTGAAGACAGATTTAGTTGGATCTTGGTCTTGCGCAGTGTTACGCAGTGCTTTAAGAAGCACAACGGGCTCACTTGTACCTTGGTATTTACTGTGCTAAGACAAAAGTCACAGTGTCCTTATTTATTTATTTATTTATTTATTTAAAGTACTGACAAGCAGATGGCTTTCTGTATGTTCTCTTTATCTCTTCTTCTCCCTTTGCCAGTTCCAAGACCTCTGGCAGGCACCACTCTCATCACCATCCAAAAACTATTACTATCAATAGCATCTGCCTGCAGAGCAAACAAATGTATAAACTATTTCTAAAATAAATTCTATACTGTACAAAAATGCCTCTGCTGAAAGAATCACACTTTGACTGGGGTCTCCTTTTGTGCTGCAGCGTGCTCAGAAGATTCCTCATAAGTAGAATCCTTTGACAAATACACTTGCTTTGATGAAAGTCAACGTATTAAGATGATCTACTGAGCTCTAACCACTAGCTCATTTTGACCATGCTGCATGCTCTAAAACAGTTACACAGAAAGGACTCCAAGGGAAGCTAGCTAGGTAGCAGAAATGGTTATAGCTCTTCGACACCAAGGTTGTGCATATGCCACACTGGGTGCTGATGGAAGTAAACATGGGTGCAGAGCTACAAGAACAAACCTCAGGTTGATTGTTTCAGGCAGTCTGATAGATTTTCTTGTGGATTTTCTGGCAAACCTTTGGCCTCCATCTATGCACTGAATTGCTTTCTTGATATCCCGTACCCAAGCATCTCTCTCTTCCAGGTAGGCAGCTTGAAAAAAGTGGTCCTGCTGCTTGGCTGCAGTGAGCTTGAAGACAAACTGAAAGGATAAACATAAAAAGGATAAAAATATTTTTTTTTTAATGTTACTTTGGTGTAGCTGGTTGAATATGATTAACTTGGTATCACCATGGCATACCGCCTACCTGTGCCTAAGGGCTACAGAAAGTGCTTTAGAGCCAGCTGAATAAAAATACTCTGAAGAAAAACACGGACAGGCAGAGCAGGTAAATAACTCCTTTTGTTACTTCCCAGTGAGCATTCCTGACTCAGAAAAAGTGAGTGGCACTGCTATTACTGGTGATTTGGGAAGTTCAAAACAGCTGAAAGACTGAAATGCCCAGTCCCTGCAGGCTTACAGTGGGCATAAACTTGTCTTAATATATTTAGAGATGTCCTCAGTTTGAGGAGAACAGCAACGTTAAAACAAACAAATTGCATCATGCTGCTCGGGTACTGATTCACACAGGGAGAAAAGGACACAGTCACACTGTAGAGTAACTGAACACATTTGCAGTCTTTTAAGGGCTTGGTAGGTAGATGAAACATCTGACCCTTACGTACACCTTATGATCACTGCTTTTCTAAATTGATCACAGTGGAAAGCCTATATTCCCCAAGACCCCAAAAGTAAGAACAGATCTTTTATGGTAGGTCTAGGCAGAAAAAGACAGCACCAACCTGAAGAAGAAAAATAATTTAGACTGCTTGATCTCATTTTCATCCAGTGATCTTTTAGATGGAAAATACAGATCTAAGTACTCAGTCAAGAGGGCTTCCATTTCCTCTAAAAATGTAGTTCCCCATAAGTGGAACCGTTATTTGTTCCACTGGTTGTGGAACAAACCAGGTTTCTGGTTGTACTAGAATATATAGACCCAGTGGGCATCTAACTAAAAAGGGCAGTTTAGCAGTGAATCTAAAATATTGACATCAAAACACCAAAGTCTACTGAAGCCTGCTTTTGTAAATGGCATGGTTCTGAACATCCCAAATATCTATCTGCCAGGCTGGTAAACAGAAAATATCCTGATGCCCTGAAACCATGCAGAAGTCCCAGTGAGTTCTATGAAAGAGATTTTGAAATCACAAAGCACTGGATACTCAAAATCTCAATGAAAAGTTAGAGTTTTTATTTCTAGTATGAGGAGAAAGGCCTTTCTGAGTCTTCTCTCAACTCCAGCTTTCAGATACCTAGGCCACTAGGCTAGACAACCAGGCTTCCTCTGAAGTCGTTGGAAAGGTTAAGTCTCCAATCCTAGAACTGACCAGTCTTCTTTCTGGAGATGTTTCTGTTTGTATTTTTGAGAAAATTAGAACATTAACTTGAACTAAACACCAACAATTTAGCTAAATTAAGAGAACACCGTCCCTGGGGGTGTTCAAGGAAAGGTTGGATGTGGTGCTTAGGGACACAGTTTAGTGGGTGACATTGGTAGTAGGGGGATGGTTGGACCAGGTGATCTTGGAGGTCTCTTCCAACCCTAACGATTCTATGATTCTATTGTATGAAATGAATCCTACTACGAGCAACCATACATGATAACGCTATCCAGAGGAAAGCTAAGGGAAAAGCGAAAAAGAAGAAAGGCAGCAGAATTAACAGCAGATTAAGTAGTGATGAAATAGATCAACAACAGTGAACAGTGGTGACTATATTTTACAATAAAATCTTCAAATATATCCTGTTCACAAGAGGCTGTGACTGTGTATCTCTTTAACAAATCCAAGGTTGCTTCCTTTTCCCTCAACATCTGCTTTTTGCAGTTGTTTTAATAAACCAAGTGTGCTGATGATATGCCATGAGGTTTCAGACAGGCCTCGAGGCAGAGACACTTTCCAATTCAACAAGCCAAAGTCAAATCAGATGAATACAAAAGTCTGCTCACAGCTTGATGGGTCCAATTTGCGGCAATGACTAAGTGAGAAAGACTGGACTTAAAATTGACCTAATGAGAATTATCCCACTTCTTACCCTACAGAAGTCTTGCTAGAAATGAAAGTTTAGTTTTAGGTCGATATGAATGTACACAAACCACTGCAAAACAGAATAATTCACACAAGAAGCAGAACCATACGTTTTAGCACGTAACCAACTAGAACATAGTATGCAATGCAGAGGCTTTGCATTCAGCTGTAAAATACAGCTGTAAGATTTAAGATACAACAATAAAAACTCTGCATTTTCAAGGAATACATGCAATAAATGAATCATTTTGGGCAGTAACCGCTTTTTAGAACAATCTCAGTGACAGTATTGCTTGTACAGATAAGCATGTTGCAGTTTTGGCTGTCTGAACAGTACAAGGTTTCAAAGTGTCTCCAGGGCTGCTGGTCTCTGGGCTTGCAGAAACATCCCACGGACCCAAGGAGGATCTGCTCCAACACCTGCTGAAGTCGTTCGTATCACTTCTGCTGACTTCAGACTCCGCAGCAGATCTTCCTTATTAAAAGACATTTTGGGTGCCTTGCTCCCCAAGTCTGACACTGAACACTTTGGACTCTGCCCATTTTGTAGAGTGCACACACGCTGGTGAATTATCTTTTCATCATTGCTAAGTATGATACCGTTACTGACACTTCCAAGCAACCACTACAGAACAGTACTGCTTTGATCTTAGTGCCTTTGTGGGACCTAAAAACAAGCAAAACTGTCTGGAAAACAATACTTTATGAGAAAAGCTTTACTTCTAGCATTATGTTGTAGGACTGTAATACTCTTGAACATGGTACCCTCCTTCCCATGAGTTACACCTCACATAAAGAGTAAGGAGAGCTGTACAGAAGATTGTTACTTAGATAATGTAGGAACACAGTTTAATTAGCTGAATTAGAACTAAATGTGTGCAGATAAACTGAGTTCCTTTATTTGGTTATTTAATGCCCTGCCTCATGCTCTAGTCCTGCATATAATTATACTTCACCCTTATTATTTATGGTTTACGAAAGAGGTGGAGTCAAGTGCAAAATGCAGAGCTCCTGCCTTGTGCTGAGGCAATCCACTGACACAAAGCCATGCCTGCTGAAACAGAAGGTCACGTGCAAAGCTAAAGGAGTCAAACAGTAAGGATTGCCCAGCCATGCTGATGGGTGAGCTGCTGCAGAGACAAAAGAGTAAATGGGTTTGATCTCAACTGCTTCTGAATCAATTGGATGCTCTCCCTTGCCAGTTCAGGTAGTGCAATACCTATGACGGGTGTGGGACAGGTTAGGGATGCATGATCACGAAATTCTCTGTCCAGTCACAATAATGGTCTCCTTCCGTGGGCAACTCCCAGTACCTACAGAGATCTAGGAAGAGCTGGCAGCTCTTGATGATCCTGCCCCCAGTGGGATTTACACAGTAATAGTCCTCTAAAACCTTTTGTCCCCCAGAGAAGAAGCCATCCATCACTTTCCTGACTCAGCCCATGAGTAACAACAATCTTATTCTCTGTTAGTACTGGCTCAAGCAGAGCTTTTAAGTTAAGAGCCTCTAAACATGTTCAAGTCTAAAAAGACTCTATAAAATCAACAAAATTTTTTCATATAAATATTGGTCAGAGCACAGAAAGAAAAGAAAAAAAAAAGGAAGTAAAAAAAGGAGAAGAAAAAAGAAAGTAAGCAGGTCTAAACCCTGACGCCACTCACCACAGAACTGAAGGACAGGTAATTCTCCTCAGTTCATACATATGAGAAAATGAAGTGCTCTCTGAAGTGCACTCTCTCACACTATTTCTACTTTTCTAACACTCCCTGAGATTCTTTTTGTTTGTTTGTTTGTTTTTCAGTCATCCTCCTGCAAGTTTCTTTGAATTGCAATGGGATAATCTCCCAGATTCTGGGGGAAACTCTCTGTGAGAGGAATTCCTGGGTCTATAGCACCTGTTTAATAAACTGAAATTGAGAGTTGTTAAGTTATCAAAGGGCTAAATATATTATTCTTTGCTCATGGAAATCCTGTTTCACCAACAGATTTTTTTGTTGTTTTCTTTTCTTTTCTCGAACCCTGTAACCACATACATATGCTTGCATTTTCCTGCATTTTATTTTCTTTCAAATAAGACTCGATTTATGAATATCACGATCTGTGAGTCTCATTGAGAAATGAGAATCAAAAAATGTTTTGGGTTTGAAGGGCCCTTAACGATCATCTAATTCCAACCCCCCTGCCATGGGCAGGGACACCTTCCTCTACACCAGGTTGCCCAAAGCCCCATCCAGCCTGGCCTTGAACACCGTGAAGGATGGAGCATCCACAGCTTCTCTGAGCAACCTGTGCCAGTGCCTCACCACCGACACAGTAAAGCCTTTCTTCTGAATATCTAATCTTAATCTATCCTTTTCTAGGATAAGGAGTAATGGCTTTAAACTACCTCTATACTCCCTAATAAATACCTTTAGGTACTGGAAGGCCTCTATAAGGTCTCCTCATAGCCTTCTCTTCGCCAGGCTGAACAACCCCAACTCCCTCAGCCTGTCTTCATAGGAGAGGTGCCCCAGCCCTCTGAGCATCCTCATGGCCCTCCTCTGGACTTGTTCTAATACATCCAGTTTAGACCTTATCCATGTGCTTGCTGTGCTCGGCCACAGACAGCCCAAATATGTACATCATTTGAATCCATTTCCCCCAATTATTTTCTTCTCTCTCCCCAAGTATACACGTGGCTAGCTCTTAGTCACACACAAAAGCTCTACACATAACCACACAGCGTGCAATTCATACACATCATGTGAATGTGAAATACATGGGGTCAGGTAGTTACCAAAGGGTAATGAAACAGGAATCACAGCTTTTTGGGGGGCATTTGTACCACAGCATTTATCTCCCTCCTGTCCAAACAAGATAGCCATGATAATTAATTATTAGTCAGTAATTAATAATTATTATTTTCTGTTGCTCATGAAATAGTTTTCCACAATTTTATTCTGTGGCTCTTAGCAGCTAAATTTATATTTAATACAAAAGTTGCCCCACTCAACTGCTAAGTGTCCCATGACAATATAATTTAGCTCTGCTCTGACAGATTTAGAAAAAAAAAATCCACTGTCTGAATTGCTCCTCCTGAAACATCCTGAGTTTTAACTCAGTCACACCTTTCAAACTCTACACAAGTCCAGTCTTGCTTCCAACCTTCTAAGACAAGGGAAGGTGACCACCAGGATAAATGTAAAGAATCTAACCACCAGCCTTGTGCCCCTTTGCTGCCTCCAGGAGTTCAAGTATATTGTCAATCATTGTTATAAAAAAACTTACCGTTCTTTTGCCAAAGTCTTGGCATGGGCTGTTAATAGTGCTTCCTTTCAGTGGGACCATCCCTTTGGGGCTGTTGTCAGACTTCCGCTTATAGAATTCAATTCCATCTTCTAAGAGCACGACCCACATCGGCTTCCAGGTATTAAACATGCTGCCCTGCATCAATAAATCATGGTGTACATTATGTTTGATAAATCACCGATTACATGATATCTACCAAAGACCAGGGAACATCTGATTGACTCTAAAATAATTATAGGGTCTCAAGGGAAATAATGAGCCACAACCACACCCATCTCACCATGCTGTTAAAATATGTTGTTATTCTTCTGACAACCATTTATTTCCCCTCCTAGTCACCTCTGCTGTGAATTTTTCACAAATTGCATCATGACCCCAGATGATGTTTCTTTTCCGTACGTTTGTGATTTCAAAATGACCCAGTGACAACACTAGGAACAATCCTCAAAAAACCCAGATGCGAACTGACCCATTAGGGCTCTCTCATTAACTCCGGGCTTCCTGTGCTGTGTTTAGGACTTGGTGCCACAATACAGTCAGCTCTTGAGGCCTGGCTGTCAGATAAGAAAGCACATATCTCAGAGGACTTCTAGACTTAAGAAAGCAATAGTAAGCATAATGAGTAGTTCAAAGGCCTCGGGCTGCGGATCTCCAACTGCTGTGGTGAGAAATTGAGGTGCTTCGTTTCATCTTTTAAGGCTTTTACTTCCTGTTTCTGAATCACAGCAGTTAGACGTGAGAAATTCAGAAATAAAGCCTGGGCCAGACCCTACGTATAGTGAAACATATGGTAAAATCCACAGGGCCTCAAATAGGAACGACCTGTGCTCTCTCTGTGCTGAGCACAATTAAGTGCTAGAATTATTAAGACTGTCATGTCCTAGCTAGCTTACCTCTGGTCCTGCCTGCAGACGGCTTCAAAAACGGTCACAATCCCAGACACCCAAGTGTCTCACTGCTCAACCAAATGAGCATTTATATGTGCTGAAAATCAACATTTCTGGGGAGTTACTGATCCACACTCGATATTTGTAGGCCTCAAATCAGAGGCTATCCTCCAAAAACATTTGATTTCCTTATCTTTCTGTCATGAAGAGAGACCTCAGTTTATTCTCCCTCTCCTACCATGGTGGCTAAGCAGAGCTAAAGCTGCAGACAGAAATGAGGTGGCCACCATCACACTGTGCAAGTGGCTTGTTTTGATTTTAAAATGGGCAGAGTTACTTCTATTTGCATTTCTGCAGAAGTGAACAGGACAGAAACACTGAGTCTTTCCCTCTTTCCCCTCCAGGAGGAAATCTTTGACCATCACATCCTTTTTATCCTGCCTTAGCTCTCAAGAAAGGCCTTTTGCACTCTGAATCAGACCTTACAGGATGGAGAGGAAAAACCATGAAAGATCTGACTGAGCGTGGGACCTGCTTCCAGCCTCTGTAGCGCTCACTGCAAGCAGAAGGTGCCCCACAAGTGAATGCTGCCTTCCAAAGGTAAACTGCTGTGCTGGAGGCTCTCTGGAAACCCAGATGAGCAGAGAACTGAAACAACGGTCCAACCTTGATGTGGATACCACATAGGGATTGAGTGCTGTTTTCTTTTGATTTTTTGTTTGAGCCATAAGAATTTATCATTTTTGGAGAACACAAATTGCCCCACAGGTTGATTTTCTGCTAAGGAATCAAGTGAGATGGGGAGCCAATACAAGAACCACTGCAATTTCCTTTTGCCAGTTTATTGCATCTTACGATACTTCTGCTCATGGAGAAACAAGTCCAGTACTTCCTGAAGACTCTGACATGCTCTGTCAGTGGAAGCCACTGCGGAGCAGGGTTAGAGGTTAGACTGGCAGTCTCGGATCCACACCATCAGCAAGCCTGAACATAGCCATGTCGGTCTCAGCTAAAACAGCTCACAAAAGACAAATGCAGGATGCTGGATTTGATTTTCCCAGACTAAAAACCAAATCGTCTCCCTTGCTCCAAAGGCTGCAGATAAAGATAGGTGTTCCCTGAACTGTTCTCTGAAATCATTAGCCACTTTAAAAGCTCACACAACCTCCCTTTGGTAGAACTATTTATCTAAAAAAAAAATATCGGTAGCACTACATGAGTAGAAAATGAGCTGTTTTCTGTGCTTGCTCAGATGACCCAAGGTCCCCCACATATACAGTGGCTTAGGCTGACATAAGATCAACTCTTAAATCTGAATCCATATTCACTGAAGATCATGTTGTACCAGCCAAAACACTAACCCCAAGCACGTTCCTAGCCTAATGTAAATAACAAGAAAATCAGTGAAAAATCACCTCCACCCTTTTAGAAGATGATTGTGGTTTGTGCACAGGTCCTGCACTCTGGCAGGTCTGATCAGGATTTTCACTTTACAGGCACAAAGAAGAGGAGGAGATCACTTAATTGGCAGATAAGGGTAACTGAGAACATGCCCATCCTAGCTGGAAGCTCTGGCTGTGGAGTTCACAGCAGCCTCACTGATGGATCCGTGTTAGCTGGTACCACTAAAATCTGCATCTTCTGCTTCTTTTGCCCGCCAGCCTCCCTCTAAGCACACTGCTGCTCCTCACCAGCAGCATAAGCTCACTTCTGCAAAGACAGAGCCACCTACGAGGCTGTTAGAGAACAGGAGCACAATTTCCACTTCCCCGTTGCCATTGCAATAGCACCCAGCTGCAACTTTCCATTAGCAACACCCACAGAGAAACTTCTTGGGGACCCAGAACTCAGAGGAACAGCAGGGACTCACACTGACACGTCTGTATGCGTCTTTTCCCTGGCATACCCAGCCAGACACACAACTTGGGATCGTCTGCCCCAGTGTCTAAGTTCCCAGCCACTCCCCTGCCATGGAGAAATATGGATCGTGAGCCATCTGCTTTCAAATTGGGCCATGGGAACTAGACATCTGCAACCTGCTGTGCATGAATTTGGTCGTCTCCTTCCTCATGACGGCATTGGTGCAGCTTTGAGATTACTTTATGAACTTGCTTCCTCTCAGTGTCGGTAGAAATAAGACTGATGAGTGACCTTTTTGCAACAGCGGTCCCAGATTAGAGACCCCTCCAGCCAGCAGCTCTGATGAGTGAAATTCTAGTTTTGATGAGCACAGACACCGCAGCACAGAGCTCCAGAACTGACACAATTTAAACTGCTTTACCCCAGTACAGATTTACATAAAAATCTTGACCTTATCCTGTGGGCTCTACCACAAAAGACTCCAGAGCAGAGGTTGCAGTGGGGCAGTGACTGCCTTCACAGAGGAGAGTCCAAAGCCCCACAAACTCTCCCTAGGCCAGACTCTGACCCGTGATATCACTATGCAGCCCCAACGTTTAACTCTGATTAAGTGCAGTAAAGTAGGCTGTGGCCATTTCAAGCTGTTACCTCTTTTGCCAAGCTTCGAATAAAGACATTCTTCATAAAAATAAGAATTTTTGACCCAGAGGTACATCTAAGATAAATGCAAAGTACCTTATATAGTACACTAACAAGATATAACTGCTAGCAAGTACCTCTATAATCACTAATATCACATTGTTCTATTGCTTAAGGAATTGGTTCATTTGCCTTGTTTTTTAGAAAAATAGGGAAAAAAAAAAAAAAAAAGACACCTCTTCTGTTTAAGTAACTGAAACCAAAGTACGTTTACCCATAGTCCCACAACCCATTCAGTCAGCTCCCTCCCCCTCTGTCCAAAGCCACCCCTTACCTTCTTTACCAAGTAGCCCTCTCTTATGCGCATTGGTTCTCGCTCCATGGCTCGGGCGGTCCTGCTCTGAGGTCTATCGGAGACAGCAGTTAGGCTCCTCTGGCAGCAAGGTCTGTGGGGTAGAGTTTTTTACAGCACAGCTGTGTCACTTTCACAAGTTCCTCTGCCTGCTAATCACATGAAAACAAGCCCATTTCCTCTTAGGGTAAGAGATAGGGAAACGCAGAAGCACGCGTGTATTTATAGGCTGCCTCTGACAGAGCAGGCAGCGGCATGACAGAACACCCAGCTGTATCAAACACTGCCAGCCTTGGGGACAGAGCCCTGGGAAATTGAATAAGCATTTTAATGCCTAATCCCAAGGACTCAAGCCCACTCTGTGAATACATGAGCTCTAGGAAAACAACAGAGGGTGGTGTACCTTGGTGTGCGTCAGGCAGCCACATGAGGATCCCAGAGACAGGTTTCTAACTCACCAGCTCTGTCAGTGTTACTTCATCCCAGCTTTGAAGCCCTACTCCCAGGGCCTGAGCAGGTAGGGTTGGCGGTAAACTGGAGAGCCTTCACTTGGTTAATGGTGCTGCGCCCTCTGCTGATACAAGAAAATTGTTTATCAGACCTGGGCAGGTTTTGGAGCTTGACGCTGAGGCTTTCCACAGAGGTTAGGTGTCAAACAGCACAAATGGGTGAGACCAGCACACTGTGTGAAGCGCCACTGAAGGTCACCTTCTGTGAGCATCTTTCGCTTGTCACACAGCCCATTTGGCTGTTTGGTAAAAGATAAAGTAAAAACATTTTCTGGCATGTGGTATAGAGCAGTCACACTCCCCCTTTCCCATACAGGGGTGGGACACAGGAGGCAGTGGTGTATTGCCAGGTGCTCTCCCACATGCAAGACTCCGTATCACTTCACAGCTGAACCCAGTGTTACCTCATCTGTCACCCCTGCTACTTGCAAAGGTCTTTCACCCTGACAGGCACAAGGCATGGAGATTCCTCCTAGCAGCAGCATTGTGCAGGCGACAGCCACTGCGTCCTGAAGTGCTCCATTGCCAAATGCCCTCCCCAAACACGTGACTTTTTCCTCAGACAAATTCGTGTTCTCCATTTGGCTCCTGTCTTCTCCCAGCTTTTACTTAGAAGTGTATGCAAGTCCAACAAGGTCTACAACAGAGGATTAAAAAAGCTCAGAGACTTTCTCTAGCCATTCTCCAGCAATGCCTACCTATTGGTTTTCCCACAGATAAGCGTCCACTCCCTCCTTTGTAATGTTCACTACCCCAACTGCTCAATGTTTCTCCTGGCTGTCCGAACTGACATTTTCCTGTAATGATTTCCACTCACTATAACTTGTCCTGTCTGGCACAGAAACTGGATTACTCCCTTTTATGTGCCAGCTGTGATGCACAGTTTGTATGCTGTAAAGAAGTCTTCTGCTAGCTGGGATGCTCTGCTGAGCCCCAGGATCAGGTCAGCAATCTGTTTAGCTCTTTGTGAAGCTGTGACAAGCTCCACAAGCTACCAGACAAGCTCCACAGCCAAACTGCTTGCTCTAATTTTCTCAAACCTTTCTCTGCTAGCTGCTGTTTATATTATCTCTCTAGGCCCATCATAATGCTTGATGTACTCAGAAGCCTGTAGACTCCTTGTAGACTGTAAATAAAAAAAAATAAAAAATAAAAAAAAAAAACACCCATAAGGCTACAGAGCATGGGGGTGAACATTAAAGACCACAAAGTAGCTCACAGTTAGCTCTTACTTCTTTCCCTACCTTGCTGCCCTTTAGGCCTGAGGAAAGGAAACCCCTTCCCCATCTGGAAGGGCTTATGAGAACAAAGACTAAACTGCCAGTGTCTTTCTCTCTGCAGGCAGCTTTTGCACAGATTTCCCCCTTGGCATCCCTGCCCACCTGCTCCTGCCGGAATGGTGTTTTTGCTTAGTCAGGATTACAGTGATGAACTAACGATATGAAACGCCCAGGGACAGTCCTTTGATAGAGCATCTATATGACCTTATACTAGAAAGTGGTTTACTGTGAAGAGAAAAGGATGCTGACTCCACCAGTAAGCAAAGGACACTCAATTTCTCATTTACCTGCATAAAAAGTCCTTGAAGATGTGTGAAATGAAATTAGAGATACAGTGTCACCAAGCCAATGACTCCAGAATTTACCATTAGGTACTTAAGCAACTCACTGTCAAGGCATAAAATTATCTTCATTGAGTTTTAGCTGGATGCAGCTACTTTTATAACATTTATTTTCTCTGCATTGTTTCTCTCATCTTCAAAGCTCAGCTATTCTTTTTGCCCTTCTGACTTTGTTTCATTTATCACCCATCATCACAGGGGAATCAACGCTTTGTCATCCCCGGGCAAAAATGTGCTGATCAACTAAATCACTCACGCAAAGCAAGACGGTCCTTAACCATGCAGTGACTGTGGCCGATGTGAAGGACACGGTGCTGATGCACATCTTCTTTAACAAGCTGGTCATAAAGAGCAGCAGCAGGCCTAGGGAAGAGGAAGGCCTGCATTGTTCTGGCTTTCCATGGAAGGGCTGATTTCTGGCAGCAAAAGGATCATAACCTGAATTGTGGAAATCTGCTGTAAGTTACCCTGTTCTCCCCATTTCTGCCCAAAGTAAAGGTGCTTGATGGCAGATTACAAACATTTGCCACAACAACACAATCTGCAGCAGAGATCACAGATGAATATCTTAGCTCAGCTTATTGGCAAGTGAACCGTTCCTGTAAGCAACATCTTGCTGCTGTACTTCCTCAGAAAATTACGTTTCTTTCTGCCACTTCAGGACTCGCTCCTGCAAGCATTAAAAAAAAAAAAAGCAATCACTTGAATTTATGTGAGCAAGGGATCTAGCTGAGAGACTGATGGGCATTTACACCCAGCCATCTCTCTGCAAGTAAATGTGTCAGCTGCAAGGAACACAGGCAGCTCTTCAGCTTGTTACATCAGCTTTGCTGCTCTCGGTGCTAGCCCTTGCATGGCTGGATTTCAGATCTGCCTGCTGCACTTTAAGTGCTGTAAGCCCACTCCATCTGTAACAGAATGGTTGAGTTCTCCAGAAACATGCATCTCTCCAGCAAATCAAGCCAGATTTCCCAGAGAAATTAAATCAGATGCAATACAATCAAAACGATTGTCTACATGAGAAAAATAACATAAGGTTTGCAAAGGTCCAGCTGCAAGTAGAAGTAAAACCCTTTCTGACTTCTACTCAGAGGCAGCGATCTCAGAAGAATTACAGTATTAAACTGAGAGCTGGCAGATGCACGGCTCAGCACAATTCACTCCATGTGGCACCACACACGGCTATTTTTAGCAAATGAGCGACTGTGGCTTTACATCCACTTCTCGAAAAGAAACCCAAAACCAGAACATTCACAGTTAGTGTGGTATTAAGAAAGGAATTGAAGAGAAGAAAGCAGGAAAATATTACAAGAATTGTTCTTGTCACCTTGGAACCTAAATGCTGCGTGTTGTCTGTCATAAAGGAGCCATCTTATTCTGACCTCTAGGCACGTTTCATGTATTTAATTCTTGTAGAGCCATGCAGCAGGATTAATATATTAAATGGAAAATGGGGAGATCTATGTAAATAGTGATGCTGAAACATTCATGTACCTGACACGTCACACACAGAATGACCGTTTAGAGCGGATTCAAGACAGCAGATGGACCAACCCTGAATGTTTTCTAGGCAAACTGGACCAGCACATAGCATACGCCATGGCTTGCATGCATATAAGCTCTGACTTTTCACTGAATACATCCAACCACACCTGTGACCTACCTCTTCCCTAGAGTATTTCTCCATCAGCAACACACGTAGGTGATGCAGGCAAAGCAGAGAAGGCCTAGGCACAACAGAGATGTCTAGAAAGGTGAAACTGCAGCATGCAACCCTCATAGCTCTCGGAAGAAAAAGAGATGAGGATGAATGAACACGTTGGTAGTTGCTCACCTGAGGAAGCTCACCACCCTCTTCATGAGCACTAAGGGGCTCATCAGTGCACATGGGAATTTCGCAGTGTCCCTGCCCCCAAAGGAAAGGGAATTAGCTTAATGTATCCTACTGACTCCTGTGAAGTCTCAGATGCCAGAGAAACAAAAAGCAGACTTGAAAGAATAAAAAATAATAATAATGAAGGGAAGGACACATAAGCCTATGTATTTGCTTCTAGAAATAAACTACTGTTGTGACTTAAGACATGGTGTAGGTCCTATAACAACATATTTAATTTTGACCCTTGTAGGGGTCACTGCATTTGCTCTGTGCTCAGAGCATTTTTTTTTTTTTTTTTCAAGCAAAAAGCACACTGCCTCCTTATTCCTGCAGTTATCTTATTCCACATGGAAAAATCAAGCATGTAATATCAGGGAACTATGCAGACCAGCATCTCCCTAGGGCCTGGAACACACAGAAAATCCCTGTGAGAACTGTCAGGGCATTGCCTGTAGCAAAACTTAAGACCAGCACATAGCTCAGGCAAAGACTGAAGGCTCAGGACTGACCTGAAATAGGGTCCATAGGTGGAGGTGTGGGGTGGAGAGTCCAGGTGAAGCTAGTCACAACTATTAAGGGCAGTTGTTATGCTGCAGCAACAAAAATAACCTCCCAGAAAGACTTATGAAAGGTAGCCTCTCCCCTGTCATCTACAATGATAAAGAACATCTGGTAGGGTCAGATAAATGTAAGCACTAAAGGCATGTGAAGTTATCAGATCAATAAAAAGAAAGACAATGCTTACATTTGAAACTGCTTCTGCATAAATGCTCCACCCTCACCGCATTTCACTTTCACGCAGTAGAACAGTTACTCAGCCTATGTATACATGATCCATATTACGATGCTTATTAAGTTCTCCCTTGTGTTTGCTATTTTGCCATAGTGGTCTGGAATACAATCACAGCCTGAGCTGTGCCCAGAGAAAGGTGATCATGCAGGCAGAAATAATAAGGGGAAAAAAAACTCGTTATAGATCTGACCTCTCGTGTACTTGGGAAGCTAATTGCAATCAATGCCTTTAGCCACACACAATTTACTACAACATGATATGTCTGGCCTGTGAGGGGAGTAAAACCGATCCCTGGCAATGGCCATTATTCTTCACACCGCTTTAAGTGATGCTATCAGATTCCCATGTGTAAGGCCTCTGTGGTTTCTTACTGAATTACATTTAAACTTACAGAAGTGGGAATTGCTGCAAGCAAAACTTTCAACAAGCCACAAAACCAGCAGAATTATATTCTCAGCAGAATATAATCACTTAGTCACATGGTCTGAACTTGGGTAGACCTGTGCGGTGTCAAGAGTTGGACTTGATGATCCTTAAGGGTCCCTTCCAACTCAGGATATTCTATGATTCTATGATTCTATGATTCTATGATAATGAAAAAAGGGAAGTCTCTTGCAATGATCAAACAAGATAAGGAGAAATGCACACCTGGTGTTTTCTGAGCCATAAAGTTTGTCTAAATATCAATAATTCAGTTAAATATTTTGTCTAAATATCACAGGTGCTTCCTCATGTGAAAACCTGTACATGCCACTTGATTGATGGCTTCCAAGATATTTTCGAGACCATTCACTGCTGACTTAGACAATGGTTGGAGCATTGGAGGGATTCATTTTACCCAATTTTTGATGTCTGTTCTCGAGGACCTTTAAAGTCAGCACAGATCTGGGCAATAAATCAACGAAGTTCAGTGTATGACTTGTGATGAAACATAGGCCCCCACTGTGGGATGAGTTGCTTCTGGAACTTACTACTTGATTAAATGCAACTACTTTTTGATTAGTTGTCCTGTGACAATACAAGAGTCTTAGGTGACTCACCAAGTCCGTAAGATTCTTATCATATAGTAAGGTTGATAATGCAGCTACCTCGTCATACATAAAGAACTGGTTTTGTTTGGTTTGGTTTTGCTTTATTTTGTTTTTAAATGGCATTTATTTCACTCTTGACTGTTCAGTGGGAGAAGTAATGACTGCATAATGTAAAAACTTTCCTACAGGATAATCCCTGCTACCAATGACTGCTATCAAAGGTGGGATGTTATTTACAGAGCTTGCTATATACACAGTTCTGAGATGTAGGAATCACACCCTGCTCTTATTTTTGTGGAAACCTTGCTTGCTGAACAAATTATGAAGCCTAATCTTAGCTGGATACTTAATCAAAGCAAATACAGTAAGATTTCTGTTGCAGAAGTCAAGTTTTCAGCAGTATGTGTTAATTTGCTTGTTACAACAAATAAAAATAAAAATATCAGTAATTAACTAGCATACAGAATGAAAAGAAGCTGGGTAATGCCTGATCGTCCATATGACTTAACAATACTACATTTTATCACCCTGTGTACATCCCTACTTTAGGAAAACAAAGAAAACATCAGGCCCAGCACAACATGTAGGTGAACGAGCTGTGCAATGCTCCTAATGAAATCATGAACTGTCGTTCAATCAAACAAAAAATACATTTATGGTCCGGATCCTGTGTCAGCTGTGAGAATGTTGCAGTTTTAACAGTAAATAGAACAGATATGGAAAAGGAAAAAAATATATATGTTCTTTGCAGAAGAATGGAAAGGGTGCCTGAGCCTCCTGCTGCTATACACGCAATCGGGAGCGGCGTAGAGCTGAATTAAGGTAGGACGGGCACAGATCCTTGGAGGGATGGTGGCAGCCATTGGTAAAGGGCTGAAGAATTGCCATGCCGGCCTGACACCGCCTTTGTGGTGGGGTTTTCCCTGTGAAAATAAAGGAGTGGGACGGGGAGGGAGGGAAGGCGCCGGGGATGCCCGGGCTCGGGGCCGCTGTCCGGGGCCGCGGTGCTGAACGGGGCGGGCCGGGGCCGCGGCCACCGGCTGGGAACGGGGACAGGGGGGACAGGGAGGGACAGGGGGACAGGGAAGGACAGGAGGGACACGGAGGGACAGCGGGGAAGAGGAAACCCGGCGCCCAGACGCTGCGCCGTGATTAGAGGGGAAGGGCAAACTAAATCCATCGTGCGCTGCTTTGGGGAAGGGCTGTGCCGGCTGCGCTCCGGCAGCCCCTCCTCTTCCTCCTCCCTCCTCCTCTTCCTCTCCCTCGCCGCCTCGCTCTGCTCTGCCCTGCTGCGGAGGGGGGAGAGACGAGGACAGCCCCCCCCCCCCCTCTCGCCATGGGCGACATCCCCAGCCTGGTGAAGATCAGCGTGTCGCTGCGCATCCAGCCCAACGACGGCGCCGTGTACTTCAAGGTGGACGGGCAGCGCTTCGGCCAGAACCGCACCATCAAGCTGCTCACCGGGGCCAAGTACAAGATCGACATCGCCCTCCGGCCCGGCACCGTCCAGGCCACGTAAGTGCATCCAAAGCTTTTATTTTTAGAGGTTTAAGAGGGTTTCCTGGCAGGCTGACAGCGCGGGGTTTCCGTGATTTCTCCCTCTCCGCCCTCTCGCTGCCGCGTTGCTGGGTCTCTGGGCAGCCTTTCCCTTGCTGGCTCCGGAGGGAGGCTGCGTTTGGGAGTCGCTTCTTTCCCCTTTCCTCCCTCCGTAGCTTATTAGGGCCTGGCTCCTTTTCTCCCTCCTTCCTCGTGGTTTGCCCTGGGAGCAGAAGGATGGGCTCCTGCAGCTTGGGGATGCTCCCAGCCCAGCCCCGCTGCACCCTGCCAAAGCAGAGACCGGCACCAGGGAGGACACAGACAAGAAAATGTCCTCCAGCCACGGAGAAGGGATTCACCCAAGCCCTCCCCAGCTCCTGGGGATCCTCACATTCCTTTTTCACCTTCCCTGGGTGATTGCAGAGCCCTGATTTTATTATTTTTTTGGGGGGGAGCCCCGGTGAGTCAGCAGCACCTGCAGGTCTGCTGAAACCACTGCCACATCCCCGGCTCCGAGGGGGCCTGCAGGGCTGCTGAAAGGCCGGATCCTGTCTCTTCGCAGGACGATGGGCATTGGGGGCGTCAATGTGCCACTAGAGGAGAAATCGAGGGATGCTCAGGTGGCCTCGTACACGGGGATCTACGACACAGAAGGGGTGCCTCACACCAAGAGCGGGGAGAGACAGCCCATCCAGGTCAACATGCAGGTACGTGGTCCTCCGCGCACGGAGGGACAAGGGCGGGCAGCAGGGACGTGACGCCCATGGAGGAAAGCAGTGGCAGAGAAATATTTCAGGGCAAATCCTGCTCACAGCTGCTGCCCTCTTTGCTTTCCATCAGTCTTCTCCCCGCCCCGATTACAGCTGTGAGGGATTTGTGGTGTTTGTCCTGCAGCTCCCATACCACAGAGAGGAAACGGAGCAGTATGTCATCTTCGGCTGAAGCCCTCCTAAGGGTCTGCTCTAATTTCTATGAGTTTAGGACCCTACCAAGGTTTCCAAGCCTCCCAGATTTCAGCTTTTTCTCATATTTGCTTGCTGCACTCAAGATTTCTTCTTAACTTTATCTTGTGTTTGTTTTTTATTCTGGAATGTTCTGCCATTTGGCACAGCAATACCCTTCTGGATATCTGTAACAGCTTAATTTAAAGTTTCTGACAATTACACAATGTGTAACTTTGGGGACCAACATCCCACTAACAGTTACCACTCCCTAATCTTAGGCCTAATAAGGCTACCCTGCAGTATTTGTCCATGTTAATCCCTTCTCTATACATTTGCCTCCTAACACCCCAAAAAAATGAATGCCTAGGATGACTCTGAGCAGCAGACTCTCTCTAACAAATACAGAAACTACAGGCCAGTGATTTTCTTCTCAGGAGGAAGGAAAACAGTGAGAATTTTTACAGCACCAACACTGAGCAGGGTTGTTGGAAACCACTTGTTCAGCACAGCAGTTCTGTTTCACAATGGCTTTACTCCAGGAGGTTAAAGGGCACTGACCCAAAACCACACGTGCTCTGATTGAGGCAGCTCTATTTTGATGCCTATGTGGATTGTACCCTCCACATTACTGAGGTGAACTCTGAAAATATGGAAATTTAACTTCTGTGCAGAAAACTAAGACCGATAAAACACAAATGAAGGAATTCCAAGTAATGGAAGGAGGGTCTGGTTTTCAGCCACAAGCTCCTGGTTGTTTTCTTGCAACATAAGAACGAGCAGCCACAATATTTATCCAAACAGCAGCTTTACAAATCAAATCCTGATACTCTGAACCATGAAACTAATAGGATTTGCAAGTGTTTAGCAAGTCCTCAACCCCTTTTAGGGTTTGATCTTGACAGATTGGTTCTTCAGTACAGACTTAGAAGTCCACAACTGATACTTTTAAGTATCAAATATAGGCACCTCAACAGGGATTTACATGCCTAACTCATCATTTAGCTGCTTAGCTAGCCAGAGCTATGACAGATTTAGGGAACAAGCCTCAGGCACCCCAGTTCAAAAACTGCTTCTAATACCTACTTCCTGAATCTTCAAAACTAGGCTCACTATACGCTGCTTTACATTTTCCTATTTCTTTCAATTATAAGGAACTTCTGCCTCCACTTCCTTTTCTGTAACTGGCAGGATCCTGACATATCCTAGGGAGAAAAGGACTATTTAAAGCTTAGAAGTCTGAACTCACATTAGGAATAGACTGAGAGGTCAGTCCCAATGTTGAGCTGGTCTGATACTGCCAATTTAATGCCCAGAAGACAGAGTATCCATGAAAGTGATAAATGTATTTCTTGTCTGCTCTGAAATTTTAAATGCATAACTTTTTTGTGCTCCTACTTTTATCTTACCTCTTACAGACAGAGTATATATACGTAAAACAACAATCCCGTGTCTGGATTCCAGAAAATGAGGATGTGTTGCTGTTAGCTGACTGTTCACTTGCACCCGCTAACCAGAAAACTCTCAGCTGTCTAACAGATGGTGTAAACCCAGTTAGATACCTCTCTTTGGTCTGATTTTATTCTTGGTCAGATCAGACCAAGACTGATTAAGAAGCTAGACCTCTCTTCCCATAACAAATAGCCACCAAGTCATCCTAGCACACAGATTCAGAGGGAACAATTAAATAATTACTCCTGCCTACAGCACCGAGCTGAGCCTGCCCAAGGGTAGGGACACCCTTCTTCCCTGGGGATGGCCGCATGTTGGCCCTAGTGGAGGAGCCAGGATTCAGTCTCAGGAGCCACAGGGAATTCAGGGGAGCTCAGAGGATGCAGAACATTCGTTATGCCACAGAGCTGCTGCACGTGCTAAGAACTGGGCTTGTGGGGAGGCACAGAGTAGAAAAGCTCTGCAGTTTAATTCTTTCCTTCTCCTGGAAATCCCCAGCAGTCAGACAAACTACTCTGAGTAGCTCAGCGAAGTGGGTCAGTGAAGGAAGACAACTTGTTTTCCTCCTTCATCTCTTATGAAATTCAGATTTTTCTGTACATCAATGAAATGCAATACTGCTCTTGATCGTATCACCTTTTACAAATACTTTTGTAAAGAAACACTTTTTCTTCTGGATCTATCAATTTTCTTCCTCAGTTTTCGGGCAAGGGTGGTTGGTGCTCCTCTCTACTGAGGATTTCTCCATGTAGGTTGTGCCCAGTAATATTCAATGTGCTTCACTTTTACTATCTTGCATTACTGCTGGTTTCAGGATTACTATCAGAGGGGAATAATGAAGGATCCTTAATTAAGATTTTGATTGCTGGGAGGGGTAAAATAGCTTGTATGTCTGATTTTTGCCTCCTTCAATGGAAGCAACAGAAATATTTCAACTACACCTTTAAGGTAACACTTGCAACTAGAGCCAAATAAAAACCTTCCACTGTCAGCACGCAGCAACTCCTGCCATCGTCCGGCTAAATTTAAGATACCACAGTGGGCTGGGGGAGATTTAAAGCAATGTCCATTAAGTAGCAGCAGCTTAAAAACCACATCTTGGATTAAAAACAAAAAACGAGCAAAAAAACCTCCATGCCCTTCTGAGAAAACTGAGTACAAAAGGCTCTGCTTGCAATTGAGTAAGAATAGAGCTTTCATACTGACTTTGTGAGTGTGATTACTCTAGGTAGATGATCTAAGGTCAGCTTCCAGGCACATGATGAGAATGGAAAAGAGTCAAGTGAAGAGGTTGTCATTAGTGAGTGATGGAAATTCTTGAAAGAAAAAAAAATGTTAAAAAACAAGTTAGAGATCTTATTACACAGAACTTACTACAACCATAGTCTTATCCACTGAGCTGCACACACAGACAACTTACAGTCAGTGTCTTGCTATTCCTTCACTGTATTAGACTCTTAGCTACTAACGTGTGCTGATCATCTCCTTCCTGCTCTCTGGTACTTGTATCTAAGTTGGAAAAGCTGTGCCACCACAGTACAACTAGCAATTGCAGAAACGGGAACTTTTGCTTAAGTTTCATGTAACACATGGAATAAAAACCCAGAGGAGGAGTAAGTGATCTGATAGCAGCAGGTCTCAGTCATGACACTGAGACATGGCACTGTAGACAGAGGGCTACAAAGAAGGAATCTTCCCTGTCCTAACTGCAGCCTCTAGGTATGGTATGTAGTTGAAGCGATAGCCTATTTCACTACAGATCACGGCTACATGATCCGTGGTATATAGAAGCCACTTCGAGGTCATCATGCCACCACTGCTGTGTCATCTTGAGGATTATAGCTTTGATTCTTGCTGTTAGTAACATTTACCAATATAGGAACTTGAACATTTTTACCCCCTTCATTTATTAACACTGATGCTCCCTTTTCCTCACAGTTTAATGACATTGGCACTTTTGAAACAGTCTGGCAAGTCAAATTCTACAACTACCACAAACGGGATCACTGCCAGTGGGGCAACAGTTTTGGCAGCATTGAGTACGAATGCAAACCGAATGAGACACGCAGTCTTATGTGGATCAACAAAGAGACCTTCCACTGAAGAGAAGTGCAACCAACACTGCTGGACAAACTCCTTAAAAAAAAAATCTACCTTTTTAAACCAGCAAGAAGCCTTAACAAAGGCATACTGTAACGTCGCTTTGTTCCGTAAGGTTCCAATAACTCAGTTGTATGTACTGGTGGTGCCACTGAAATCTTTGCCTGTTACTGTATTTCAAGTTTACCTTGGCATCTGCAACGCTCTTTACCTATACCCTGGGAATAACGTAGGCATCATGGTAAAGAGTATTTGATTCCTGGGTAGAAAGTCATCCTATCATAATAGTGTCATAACTATCTGGATTATGCCCACTAGATGTAACACCCTTTGTGAAGTGTTTTGCTTTATTGCTTAGAATTTGGATGCGGTATCTATCATGTTGGAAATTTCCACATTTATATTTGTTTGCTCCTAAATCAGTGTGCTCCTTCAGGAATTTTGTTTACATGTCATCCCAGTGGACAGCAAAAAAAGTGCAAATTATGGATGTCTGTAGGTTTAGATAAATGGCAGCTACTGCACTGTTGGTATCAAGGGATGTCATAGCAAGGGATTTGGAAACTCTCCTTTTGTCAAGTGCTGTAAGTTACCCTGGTATAAATTTCCTATTTTGTGAGATTTGGTAAATTAGCATTCTTTGATGTTAACTTCCCCAGTCTCTGAAATAGCTTTAGAGAACACTATAAAACATGCTAACCTAAATGAAAGAAAAGCAATAAATTAGTTGTGGTATTAAAGACATCTAACAACATGGCTAGTGTCTATGTCAAGGTTATATAGTCTTGAAAGATACAGCAGCCATCCTTAATTTAGTTCTTACAGTAAGAGTTCTGATAGTAATCTCTGGTTTTCTTTGAATGAAATATTGCTCAAATCAGTGAAATCACATAAATCAACTTTTTTTAAGCCTGACTACTGTATTATACCAAAATCTACAGGATTTCCAGCCAACAAAAACTCCTCACTCATTGTGATCAAACTGCAGATTGCAATGCGTTGTGCTCTTTCACGTAAGGATAAGCATGTAAGCAATTGCACAGTCATGACTAAAGGTGCTACATAAACACTAGGTCAGTGTTTAACATATACAGGCAACAACAACAAAGAAAACAAATACCTTTTCTTTCAGTAAATAAACCAGGGAAACAACTATACTGTCCCATCCCCTACTTGGGCTGAAGTAAGCTGTCAGTTCTTGCATATCTGTTACTCCCTTTGTGAATAATTTGTAAATTGTGTATGTAAATGGTAACCATGACTTTTGATCTTTGTAATAAAGGACTTAAAACAATATTTTTTTTCTCTAGCGTGACCATCTAAACGAGCAGAAAATATTATATCAAAAACGGCAGTGGTTTTAAAAAGTCAGACAGCAGAGGGTACATAGCCAGTGCTTTCTGAGAATTCAGTCTGAGGCACTTCATGTTCAGTGCCCAAAGCTGCTCCTTCTAGGAAATACAAATCCAATGTGCTAGAATGCAGGATGTGAATTCGATAATGCTCAGTAGAAATTGAAAAAAAATCCCATTTAATTCTTAATCAAAAAACTTGACTGTTTGAAATTTCTAGAGACAAAAAAAGGCTGACCGTAGCACTGATGTAATATAGTACCAGAGCAGTAAGCTAGGCAGCTGCATCCCTGCTCTGAGGCAGTATTACACAGGCACATTTCATTGCTACGAAATTCTAGGAAGTATTCTAAGCTAACTTCTTTCCTGGACTTTCCCTAGTCTACAGGCAAATGATGTGGACAAAGGCCCATCCAGATTGGAGGGGTCACCTATAGCAAGTCAGCCTAACCCTGTATCACGACCACCTCCATCCCAAAAAACGAAGAATTTTGGTCACAGTCACCATGAAGTAGTCCAGTTTAAAATCTTTGATGATAGGAGGAAAGCTGCCACTTTCTACCCTGGAGATAGGGAGAGGGGGGGTCCTGCGTGGAGCCAAGAGTTGATGATTCAGTCAATGATTCTGGTGGGTCCCTTCAAACTTGGGATATTCTATGATTCTACAGAAACATTTTTTCTCTGAAATAATAATTCAGAGACATAATTAATAATACCAAATGTTCAGCTGTCAATCAGTTCCATCTCTGTACTACTAAAGCATTATTTTCTTCTGCAACACTTGGTATATTTTGTTTTGTTTGTACACAGAAGCACATCAGCATGAAGTGTTTGATACATAAATTAGCAGTTGTTTTTGTCCTACTAAAATTAAAATGTGTAAGACAGGCCTGCAGCTCTCGAGTTCAGCTTCTGTGAAATCCTCGGCCTACAGTATCTGAGCTTTCCAGCATTTACGAAATGTTACAGCAAATCCAGCCTATGCTGACATGGGAGGGATGTTATCATCAGCTAAAGAAAAGCACACCTTTCCCAAGGTAAATACTTACGTCTACATTAATTGCAAATAGGTAGGGCAGCTCTTTCTCATGTCTTAGCAAGCCCCTAGCACGTCGACTGCAATTCAGTTCAGAGGGTGGTCAAGAAGGAGGGCAGATGGAGCTGCTTTTAAAAGGAAGGAGAGAGCACTCAGACCAACCGTGTCCTGCAGACTCTGCGCCCTGAAACTGAACATTGCTGTCCAGGACTGAAGCCACCCTTTTAAAGACAGCGGCAGCGATTAAAATAAAATAAAAAAAAAAAAAAAAAAAGGAAAAGGCAGGGGGAAGTGGGGGAAGTAGCCTGCTTAACAGCTATATTAAAGAAGGTAAATAACTTTTATCAGCTGTTACTTCCTCCTTCCCTGCATGATTTTTAAGGGTGAAGGAATGTGGCTTGATAGCCTCGCATTATTCCTGCCTAATAAAAAGATTATTTGTGGGGTATTTGTTGTGTATTTATACTGCTAAGGACAACATCACTGATACTCTCTATGTGTAAAGGAACATAGTCCCACAAACTTCCCTTTCCTCAACAAACATTTGCTCCTAGTAAAGGAGACCCATGTCTTTAAAAAGCATCTCTTTCCAAGTAATGTTCTGAAATATCTTACATTCAGGACAGCTCTGGTAAACGTTCATAAAGCTTGTGGGTAATCTCATAAAGCTTGTGGGTAATCAACTCAAGTAACTGTCACTGTGACAGTTTGATGCATTATTTAATCAGCAGCATTTAATCCCCAGACAAGTTTGTTCTTTACACACCTTTTTCTAATTAGTATTTCCATTTCTTGAGAGAACTCCAAAATTCAGAACAGGACACAATATACTAAGCTTAAAGATAGTTTTTATAATTATCCAACACACTGTCAGAAAATGCTGACAATGTGTCAATCCAGCTGAAACCACAAAGCACTGATACCTGAAGGTTTTCTACATGAAAGCCTTACAGATTTTTCTCTTTTGTCCCTTGTGTTCCCATGAAAGTTTCCAGCTTTCATTTTCATAAGAAAGATTGAAATGAATATATTGAATCTTTCAGAGTTACTTTTTCATCTATATTTAGGTAGCTGTTAGCACTTTCAGACAGCTGAGTAAAAGGATCCAAGAGCAAGCTATTAGTCATGATTATTATGGTTGTAGTCTGGCATAGGGCTTACATGAAATCAGAAGAGTCTGTGCATTGTTTTTTGTTTAGCACAACTACTACAGGCTTTGGATATCTCCTACCATCATACTATAGCTGAAAAGAAAAATACTGCCAAAGTCTCCAACCATTACCGATCAAGCTAGTGAGGTCTCACTGGCTTCAGCTTCAGAAAGCCTCATTTGTTATATTCTTCCTATAGAAGATGTGAACAAAACCGCTGTACAATGAAGCTGTAAGTTTTTTAACGCAAGGTTTTCACGTGCCAGCAGAAACTGGTTTCCATTTCTTTAAGAGCAGCTGGCTGATTTGCTATGTAAAACTTTGAGGTATGTGCTATTTTGAACAGTTCCATTTTTCTGGAGCCTCCACATAAGAATAAGAGCATGGCACTGTTGTCAATGCTAATCTTTTTCTGAGGTTTGAAATAAGTGCCGTGGCTTTCAGAATTCAAAACATTGCCCTGGAAGTATGCCAACCCTGAAGCACGAAGCAGTAGTGTAACGAGTCTTAGAGCATTGATGCTTTCCCTTATTTCGACAAAGCTCACAAGCAATGACTGGGAAGTTTGTGCCAGGCAGCTAATCCTAGTCTCGAGCTAGGGAAGATGGCCACTCCTGCCCACAGGATGCATGCTGCATGCTTGGCAGCTTTCACCAGCGTTCTTTGGACTGCTTCTTCTTCTTCTCTTCCTGAGGCCAGCAGCTAAGGCTTCAAATCCCCGTGAGACCTGGCTTTTGGCCTCAGGAAGGCAAGGCTGTACCAACACAGAAAGAACCACGCCTACTCTCTCCGCATTGCCTTCTCTGTACCTACCCCAAATTTTTTGATTATTTCTCTCAGTGATGGACACAGATTATTTCTGTTCATTCACAAAGAATAATCCCATGAATGATGTCAGTGACCTTATAGGTTACATATAACCTTCTCTGCCTCTTCATGGCAAAGAAATTCACAGAACATATTCCAGCTGTAGAATAGGAAGAAAATGTCCAGCTACCAGAAAAATAAAGGGAAGCTAGACTACAGAAAGCACTGCTGATGGTGGAAGTCCTGTAGCACCTGCCATTACAGTGCTGGAGAGCTCAGACAGCTACATACCACAGCGCTCTCACACTCCCTGACCTCCTCTGTATAATAAGATACACTCAAGTGAGGAGCTGGAAACTTCTGCAACTTCTCCTGCTGCACTTTGTTTCTCCCCCACTGAAAACAAACACTGCTACTGCCCTTATCCCAAATAGTAAGGAACAACCCAGTGCCCCCACTGGGTAAATTCTGCAGCCTCTGAACCATTCAGAAAGAAGCAATAACAAGCTATCAGATGATGGTAATGAAGACAGCACAAGTAAGAACTGTGTGACTGTGCTGGAGGTGAGATGGACCTTCTGCCAATTCTCCCCACAGTAACTGCAAGGTCAGGTGCCATTCTGCTGTCAGGAAGGGACTGTGATAATGTCTGTGATAATACCTACATTAAACTGTGGCATATAGGGACGAGATGTTCTCAGAAGCTGGAAACAAAACATTATGAGTTTAATTTGAACCCCAGAGGGCTTTGTCTGCAGAGAAATGGCAGTATGATTCTGCAATATCAGAACATACATTATTTCGACTCTGATGGCAATCTTCCACTCAGTCTATGTTGCTAGGCCAATCAAGTAACCTAAGGTACTTCCAAATTCCAGGGTCTTTTTGTAGAGAACAAGCCTTGGCCAATCCTACGTCCAGTTGGTGGGGTTTGTTTGTTGTTGTTGTGTCCCCTTTTCTAATGAACTGTATGATTTTTACTTCTAGCTTCAGAGACATCTCTCTGCCTAAACACTACATGATAAGCAAGCTGAGAAAATAATGCAAAGAGTACCACTGTGTGAAAACAAAACTGCAGTCGTCCCAGTTCTGTATAGCCACTATGCGCCTGCACTGCAAAGATTTAATGGCACTAAAATGAAGAAATGGCTTCATGAGTCTGTCAGTTATGGTGCAGACTGAACCATGTTCAAGAGGCTGGCTATGTTTTGTCTCTCAGCACAATGCAACAGTCATATGTAAGTATTTATTTTCAAAGGCACAACGCTTACACTCAACTTTGCTACTCTTGAGGCAGATGGTTAAGAAGCCAAGAAAAGGTGCCAAATTCACTCCAGGTACAGAGCTCCCCATAAGGAACGGAGTTAACACAAGGGAAAAATTTGTCCCAATAGGCTAAAATGTGGATTAATACTGGCCTTGCTTAAAATAGAACTGTAAGAACTCAGACCTAACCATCTTAATACAAATGAAATACAATCCATTGAGGAAATAGTTCCAAGGGGGTTGTTTTAAATACCATGAAAAGATTTCCTCTACAGATCATTTGCCCTATCTTATAAAATCTTTATTTTCCCCTAGGGATCAACGAACACTTTGTGCTTGCATTCTGGCACAAAAATCAGTTACATAATGACCTAGCAGAGCTGCAAAACTACTTCTTGCAGGTTTTGTTTTGTTTTGTTTTTTAATGAAAACCACTATCAATTCTTACTTGCTTTAAAAATAAAATCTTATAAGTAAAAATGAACCAAGTGTCTTTTTCCACGAACTTCCCATAAAAATGAGAAGTTAAGAAAAATAACTTTGAGAACTTTCATTAAGCTTGCCAGCTGAGCCCTACGATGCCAGAAACAGAGGCACTCAGGCACAAATAAGCCAGCAAAGGAGGAGCACTGGAATATGCTTAGCTCCAGGACTGACATACGATCTGAACAGCACAGCAAAGAGCGAGTATTAGCCCCCCATCAGTCCTCCTGTGGCTTTCAGTCTGAAAAAACACATGTAGGATGGGTACGTACACATTCTTGCCATGCACTCCATTGCACAAATCCATGTGTGATCGTGCCTTGTCTTAGAAATCAGCTTCTGTCCAGATGTCCAAAGGGAAAACAGTGGAGGGACATGAACTTGGAGTCATGATACTACAGAAACAGAGAGAGAGAGAGAGAGAGAGAGAGACTCAGAGCACAAAGACACTGAGATGTTGCTTCTAGTAAACTCCCAGACAGTTGGGGCACACTCACAAGGAGGCTTTGTATAAAAATATAACAATGTACGAGAACCAGAAGAAAATTCTTTTGGTAGTCTCTATCTCAGTCACCTCCTATACTCTTTCCAGATTCTGCTAGGACTGCAGCTAACCTCAGAAATCTACAGAATTCCCCATATCAATCACTTTTTAAAAAAAAAAAAAAAAAAAAGAATCAACCACTGATTTCTTGTCAATCTGAGTAACTTCTCCCATCTCACCACAGTGTTCTCTAGGCAGTCAGTAGTTGCTAGTAAATACTGTCATAATTTACTCACCTCCCTCTAATGTTCTGTCTGTCTTTTATCTGTAAGGGGGACAGAGAGAAGGGAGGGAAAGGGGAGAGAAAGGAAACAGGGAGAGAAGGCTATCTTCTCTTGCCGTTTGCTGTTCAATCTATTACTCATATTTGCCTTGAAGGCTCTGCAGAAAGGAGCTATTTATGAAACTTGTAAGGTCCCCAGTCATTCAGTGGCTTGTACTAGAATAATCTGGAGGGGTGGGTGAAGAAGCACTATATTCATTTTGGGTTGGGCAAGGGAGCCCTTGTACATCCCCCACAGAGGCATGTAAGGGCATAGCAATGAGTGCATCAACAAGCACCCTGTGGGGCAGCACCACTCAGCGATACCGGGAAGTACGCAGAGCACGAGTGTCATGTGAGGCTGGCACTGTGCAGACGGGCTGGGTGCTGTGCTCCAGCTTTCTGCCACTTTCTGCTCTGGTTCATGCAGCCCCGCTGAAGCCTTTGAGCTTCCCGTGAGGCACAGCTACAACCAAGAGAAGAAGCAGCTAAGGAAACTGGGGAGCGTGTAAAACTCCTGGGTCAGGGTACAACTCCTGTGGCGTGGCTGAACCCAAATTCAACACCAGGGTAAAGTCTGGACGTGCTCCCTTCCTCCAGCTCCTGCAGCCTGTTTTCCCACAAAAAGGGAAAACAGTTGTGTGTACAAGACCGAGGGACTTGCTATAAGGAAGTCTGGAAAGAACACAACGTTCATCTGTATTACATCATGGCCTGTCTTACCTCTTTGCAACTACCTCATCCAGCTTTATTCTCATCAGAACACCAAAACCTAGACATTTGCCATGTTACCACCACAGCCTTCTTCCCTGCTGTGATGATTCTCCAGAACAGACTATGAAGAGAATAACCTTGTACTGGAGAAAAGCCACAGATTCTCCCTGGTTAGCTCCCACTACCTGTTTTTACATCTCTGGCTCCAAATAAAGGACAAATCTAAACTATTTCGCAGCCCACCTTCTGACAAATACTTCACACAACCTACACTTGGCTGTGAACAATCTAGAAACTGGAGTCCTAAAATCAAAGTGGCTAGTCCTGCAGAAGGCATTGTACAGAGGGTAGCAGCCTAAGTCTTTGACATTACAACATGAGCGGAATTCTTCCCACCTTCGTTAGATCCCAGGATGAGGCTTAGGTTATGGCTTCTAATGGTCCTGACAGTGAGAATTCCTGTAACCCCACCAGGATCCACACTGTTACGCTCTTGTAACATGAGACACCAACGTTGTCTAAGCAGGGCAACCTCTTCTGGCCATTGATGTCAACTAAAGCAAGTCCAAGGATCACAGAAACACCTTTTTACATCACTCTCCCTACAGAAACGAAGTGGAGGCAATGTGAGGTAGCCCAGGATAATTCGGAGACTAATCACCATCACTATTCTCATTTGCTTGTTCTGAAGACTATATTCATTTTCTTTTATTTTTTAACTTAATTTATTCAAGCTACAAACCTTGAACACATGGACAAACAGAGCAAATACTTAAATAGCCACCTGATTTTCTCTTTTTCCATACACTCCAGTTTTCACCTGGAGAGAAAAATGACAAGAACTTACATACTGATGTGCAGGTCACACACAAGCACAGGTGAAGAAGTGTTTAGATGTGCTGAACATTAGCCCTAATTCTGAACATGTTTACAAATTAAGGGCCAAAAAACAAGCTAACAACAAGTTCAAGTGTCTTGCTGGAAAGGAAACCTTTCTCCATTATGCACTCTTTACAAGCTCCATGCAAACACCTCCCACTCTACGAGATTCAAGCTTGTTTTACTGAACATTTTACTTGACACAAGAGAGCCAGGAGAAAAAAAGCTGGAATCAGTTTTAGCCAATTTCCTTTTTTTTTTTTTTTTTTTACCTGCTGGGCTTTTAACACAAATCATAGACATGAAGAATTAAGTGACGCAATGGAAGCTGTGAAAAAAGCAAGCTGACTATCATATCTCAGGCCAGTTATGAGTTACCTGCTGTGTAGCCCCTTTGATGCAGAATTCCTGGAGGATGGACAAGGTTTTATTGCAATCTACATCAAGCAGTCCAAGCCAACGCTTTAAGTAATCAATGTAAAATAGCAGAACGTTTCCCTGTAACATTGTTTCATCCACAATACACACATTTTCAAACAAGACTTCATTTGGTGTGAGCAGTTGCAAATTATTAGTCATTACAGCTAAGAATAAACTCCCAGCTCTGGTTATGCTTTCTCCCCTGTATTTTTAATCATTATTTCAAATCCCACAGCTCCAGTAAAAGAAAATTAACTGCTGAGGATTTAGGGATTTGAATCAGTGTTCTTCCAGCTCACAGTTGCTTTACAGAAATCAGTGCCATGTGAATACTAAAAACATAGCAAAAAAAATTTTTGACTTTACTTTTGTTCTCAGTAATATATCAGAATAAATTGTGGAACTTATGCAATCTAATTTCTTGTCCGTCTCATGTGGATTCTCTTGTGTTTTAATTTTATGGTTTGACTCATACTGCAGCCCTTCTGGCATCTTCTGGCATCATGGATAAATGTTTCAACCACTGTACTGTCTTCAGAGAAGTAACTTCATAAAACTCGAAGCAACTCAGTGTGGTATCTCAGCCTTTCTTTCCATTTTCATGAAAAACATTGAATGTTGTGAGTGGAGGGCTGCGGAGGAGGAAGAGCAGGACAAAGTGTTCTCAACACAAGCTTCAGTTTAAGAAGCCAGGCGAGAATTGCCAGAGGAAAAAAGCAGCAATACAAAAAATACAGCAGGATACCGCTAGATGGTGGTACTAAGAGGAAGTATCTACCACGATGGAACTCCAAGAACGCAGGAATTGTCTGTAAGGTGTAAGGCACATCAAAAATCTCCTAATCCCACTCCTGACTGCATCGACCACCTCCCCACCCACTCAAACACCCTGTGATCCTGCAGGAGCTAATACAAGCACCTACGTGCAGAAGGAGCATCCCTTTGCTACTGCTGAGTGTCTTTGGATTCAAATGGACACCTGAGGAGCAGCAGTGCTCCGTGATACAGCCGTGGATCACATCTGGATGGAGGTCCAGCGAGCTCACGCAGTACTGAGCCTCGTCCCTGGCACTTCTCCCAGCACCCCTCATTACCCTGATTTTAGCCTTCCTCGTGTACAGCCTCACGAGGAGTTTCTGCTTTCCTGCAAGTTCAGGCACATGCATTTCTTGACAAGCGTGACCACAGGGACTACTCATCCAATTACTCATCATTCACAGTTCTTATAAAGGAGGATACTAGTTTCTTACAAGAGCTACTATCCCCCACTGCACAGGTAACTCCAAACTGTCTCAAAACGAGCAGATGCACCAGAAATTTCTACAGACAGGACCAAACCTCACTTCACCATTACATGTTAAAAAAAAAACAAAAAAAACAAAAAAACAAAACATGTCAGAAGCCTGTGATGTCCTAAAAGCTACGTACCATGAGCTGCAACCCAGCAATCTTTGAACAAAATCCTAATTCATCATTTTGCTGGTCAGCAGGCTCCCAATACCCAATCTCAGGACAGCAGCCTTTTTTTTTGCAGTGGATCAGCACTCTGCTGTCTCAGTCATCTACCTGCCAATGAAACAGAGATGATAAATGTAAACCTCCACTGCAATGCTAAATGATCTGTCGCTCCCCACCCCCTCCAAAGTGCTTCATTCTCAGGGGAATAACATTAGCATTTATGGAAGCAAATGCCTCAGGGTTTTGCTAATGAGTTAGAACCTTCTGCCTTTGGATCACAGGCATGAATCCTACTCATCTCAAAGGTAAAATACTGGGTCTAACAGAAATTTGATATCAAGATGAATTCTAGTTCCAGCTCCTCCATCACAAGTTCATCTTTATGCTTGCTGCGCAGCTGTATTTCGTAAGTCAGATAGGGCTTGGAGCTCAGAGTCTTCTACCAAGGACTCACAATTGCAGCAAGAACCAAAATCTCTTTGGTACAGATTTTTGGGATACACAGAACAGATTATCTCACTTAGGAAAGGGAAAAATAAAAAGAACTTAAAACCCACAAAACACAAGTTCTGTGAACTGGAATTCACAGATGTTTCAGAAATACTGAGGTTTTTGTATGCATGTAAAATATAAATTTGTATTTATACATAAAATTTGATATAAGCATTACTGCTTTAACACTAAAGATTCCACTGTGGCTGCAAGATGTCATTTAAAGTATTCAGATCTGCCTACACGCAACCAGCTATAACTGATAAACATTTTTAGAAAGAAGCTCACACAAAACTTGAAGGACTTGCTTTGGGGAAAAAAGTAAGAGGGAACGGGATTCTGAATTCCAGCATCTGCAAACACCTACAGAGATTGTGCCCCTTTTATTTCGCCCTGATAATTTAAAATCACGGCATGAGGCCGTAACGCTGCTCCTAGTCAGTGCAGAGGTTCCTCTCTTCCACAGGAGGGAGCTTCTCTCTTGCAAAGATGACGAGCTCTTTTGCAGTTCTCATTTTGGAAATGTGTAGGAGCTCTAAACAGCTCTGGAGGGCCCCACGCCTGACAGCTTCCACGCAGGATTAGCAAAGCAGATTCAAAAGAAAAAAAAAAAAAAAAAGGAAAAAAAAAAAAAAAAAAAAAACACTAAAAAACACAGAAAACCAAAGATCAAGCATTTCTGAGCTAAACCCTTTCTTGGATCCCTGTGTTATGTCACACTATTAGCACTCCCCATCACCCTCTCCCTAATACAGAAAAAGCAGAGAATGTATAGGGCAGAAAAACCTGAGAATTTCAAGTCCAGCAGCATCATTTATGTCCAGACAAATGACTCAAGCTTGACACACAACAACTGAAGCTATCAGCTGACCAGACAGTGCACTTTAGGAGGAACAATAAGTCCCAGTAATTCAGAGAACATTGCATCTTCAGAAGACATTTGGCCTAATAACTGAAATTTCTGAACCAAATTTGAAAATATTTTTTAAAGGAAACAAGCAAAAAAAGTGGAAATCCACTTACTAATCCACCCTCAAGTGACATTCAGATTTCACTAGAGTTAACCTCAAAGGCAGTTTTTCTCTAGATAAATGGCTCACTTCCACTGCTCCGAATTGTCTCTCACTTGATTTGGAGCTCTGAGCTGCAGTTTCTATCAAGGTAGCACTGTGCTATCATCGGGTTTCACAGTTGCTGCTTCCACTACTGTTTCCTTAGCGAAAAAGAAAAAAAAAATCACGAAAATCACAGGTGACAAGCCAAAAGGGAGCAATGCTTAAGCTGTGCTGATCTCATCATCTAGTAGCTAGAGAATTTCATATTCCCTGCTGTCTAAGTTACAGAACTGTGGGTATATCCTCCTCCTCTTGTGTATAGCTAATTCCCACTGTCAGCAGTGGGAATAACATAAGCACACCGAGGGGACAATGAGCCCTTGAGGCCCGTTGCAGTACTAATTTCAAAATATCAGAGTAAACATATTTTGCTTGAGATAGGCAATAAGCCTGGGCACCAGCTTCTGTGTTTAAGAATGCATCATGAGGCTGTGCACTCGGATCACGTTATAAACTAGAGATAACCTAGTCACCTAGCTCCCAGTTTTGTATGTGTTTGAAGAAACAGTTCTGCCATGAATAACTGACTGCTATTTATACAGTTCTATATATACAGATCTATACGCACAGATCTAATCACAGATCAAAGCACCGTGAAGCCAAATGCGGTGGGAAGGATTAGGTGAAATACATCTTCTGCTCCAAAGGTCTCACCATCTTGATTTATGACTAGGCACACAAAAAATAGCACCTGCTGCTCACAACTCTCTCCTCCAGGCACGTAAAGTAATAACACCCCCAAATATTGCAGGTCTTCACTGCCTCCAGTACTTGCTATTACTTCAAAACCAACTATGCTATGACCATGGGTGCTGGGTTTTGGCTCATGCATAAACAACACCAGCAAAGACAGATTCAGCCACAGGCAGCAGTCAACTAAACAGAAGGTTAGGTGTTAACTCAGAAAACAGTTCTGGTTTGATAACCTAATGTTGATCGTACTTCTTTATCAAAGCCCTATCTAACATTTCTCGAAAAAATACATCCAATCTGCAGACCCCCAGATCACACACACTATGCTCAGGGTAATTTTTAAGAACAAAACTTTCCCTGCTCACAGGTGATTAACCCTGCAAAATTATCATGCTATATGGTGAAAGTAAATTGCTAACAGATTATTAATAATGAAACAACACAGGCTAGAGAGCATAGTTTGAGAAAAGACTGTGAGTCCCAGCACAAGCTAACGCAATCAAAGAGAGTCTTGTTTGTATAACACTTAATAAGTCCCAGAGGGAAAAGGGACAGCTGTGTAAAGCTACTCTGGTTGTCCAATTTTTTTTCCACCATAATTACTTGTTACTGATGTTTCGTAAAATCAATTGTCCAGAGAACCTCCTGAAAGTTCAGTGTGAATATTGATAAAGCCTGAACATAGAAACCAAGTAAAAAAGCATCCTCAGCAGTACATTTTGGAACACAGACATGATCGTAGAAGGGTAATTCTTTTCTTTACATCAAGTAAAAATCTTTACTGAGGAACATTGCATTTTCAGCATTCATTTGACACATCTTGAATATGAGAACTTAAAGTGAACCTGACATCAAATTGCTCAGCAGGACCTGCAGCTTACAAAGACAGCATCCATATTTTCACCCGTTCATGATTCCTGTTTTTTTTCCCCTCCACATTTTAAAGAGAAATGATGGATCTTTTAAAGGTCCTGAGAAGAATCATTCTCTTACAACTTGAAACTGCAACTGAGAAACACAAAACACTGGTGTAGATTTTACTCTAAGATAAACAGGCAAATGACAGAGTACAAGGTGGGCAATTACAACTTGAGCCTAGTAAACAGGACTTACTTGGGTTAACTCCAGTATTAGTAATCACTCTTAAAGTGATCCAAAATGTTTTGGCCAAAGCTAGATACTTAGATATATAGCCTGAATTTCAGAGTTGCTAAGCACCCATCTGTTTTAGTTGACTTGAAAGAAAAAGGGACATGAGGAGATGTAAGAATCAGAGGAGTCCCAGTTCCAAAAAGGGAGCAGTTGTCCCTTGTTATTTGAACTGTTTCCCAATATTAAAGATATCTGAAAAAAATGAGCTATTTTTCAAATAAAGTTTAGCAAAACACATGCCAACTGAAACCTTTTCATTTTCAAGTATAGTTAGCAGAAATGAAATACTTTAAAAAGTTAACCAAAATATTGATTGCTTAACTTGTTTGATCAAGCAGTTGGACATTCTTATAACAGATTATTTTTTTTTTTACAAAAACTGTTTTGGTCTAAAGAACTATTTCTCTCGAAGAAGCATTTTGTAATTAGGATTGTACTTTAAATAATAGTGTAGACTTATCTCTGTATCATTCTTGTAAAATTAACATGGTTCATAGGCATTAGACTGATAAACATCAAGAGCATGAAGAGAAATACTTTTTTCCCTTCTAAGTATTGCTTTCTAACAAGACGAAAGGTTAAAATAACCATTTGGCCCTCTAAGGTTCTCATGGCCCTCAACCCGTTCCCTCATTACAAATTAGCAAAAACAAATGGCAGAGTACGGTCCCTGTAAGGTACATATCTACTAAACTCTGAACAATAATGACAACCAGATCTTTTATCCCAATATGGTTCCTTTTTGTGCTACTCCTGCATAGGAGGCATACCGCAATTTTAATTAAAGCAAAGGGACGTGACTGGAGAATCCAACTGCAGTCTCCAGAGGGCATGATTTAACTCCTGCCTTGCACTCTAAGTGCTGAAAGCAAGCACGGTGAAACAGAATGGTGATCAAGGCTTTCCTGCTCCAGTTTCTGCACAAATCACAGCTCCCAGGACTTAGACTGGTGTCCGATTGTGAAACTTGAACTTGGGCAACTACAGTGCCTGCCACCCAGAAGCAGCAAAGTGCATGAATTTGGGAGCTCATGTATAGAACACGAAATACTCACATGATGCTTGGACATCACCATAACATGTATGAAGCTTTACAGAAGGCATTCGATCCTATTACATTTTTTTACGATCCAGAACAGCTTTATTGAACGTATTTGTTCTGCCTGGTGAAAGAAAGCATATGCAACATTCTCTGTAATGAGCTGCCATTTCTAAATAATTTGCATCTGTGAAGCATCAATGGAGACAAAAGTGTTCTTACTTTCCATACATTGAACACAACAATTAAATAAGAGCAGGAGCCTGCAAAAGTGTCTGCATTAAAGTATAAGCATAGGGAACTAAACATTAAAAATTTCCCCAAAGATGCTGATATTTAAGATATTTAATAAGCACATGGGAATCTTTCCTGAGATTTGAAACGTATTAAAACAGAAGAACCAAAATTGATTCCTTTTTAGTAGTTTAGTCCTTCCCTGATACACATGAGGACCAGAGTTACTAAAACAGCTTTAACCTTGTCTAACCTTCCTATACTGGAAAATAATACTAAAAAATAGATAAGTGAAAGTAATTTGCTGTGGAAGAAAGGGCTCAGTCCAGTTGTGATAAATGGTTTCAGACTCTGTTGGGTTCACTGGGATTTGACAGTACATA